GTTACGTTTGCTGAAACTCAGCGTCTGCATCCAGTGGGTAAATGGGGCGTCGGACCTTCTGATAATCGTAGGAGAAGAGATCCGGGCTATGCACACCGGGGGTGTCTACCTCCAAGATCTCATGGGCAATTGGCGTGTAGTCCGCACGGAAAATGAACAGCCGATTTGAGTGCAATGAGTTTCTGATCTCTCGGTTCGATTCCGACGCTACGGAGCACTTCAGCGTCAATGGGTTGAACACGGCGTTCCGTCAGAATGATTTCGACACCGCCGACCTTGACAACGGCAGTCTGTCCCAAACTGCTTCTGACTCCGCGTCCCATCGGTCCCTTATACACAAATTGTCCGTCGGAAATTGTTTTCACATAACCTGTCAATGCAACTGGATCTCCGTGCAGCGGAATCGTCTTCCCGCCGACATTAAGTGCCACTGTATTGCCGACACCTGCTTCGATTGCCTGCGCTACGGACTCCGGGTCAGCGATTATAGCAATAACCGCATCTTGGACATCGGCTTCAATAAATTTCCGGAGAATAATCGTCCCATCGCAGGGACCACCGCCACCGGGATTATCCGAACCCTCTGCGAGGACGATTGGATGCCCTTCTGACCGATTTGCGATCTCGATTGCTTCCTCAACAGAAACAAGATTTGGGGTAAATGCTTCTCGCATGTCCCAGATGTACTTTGCAAATTGGTCTGTGTGCTGTTCAGCGAGTTGGTGATCGCCGTTGGTCGTCACCAGTACCGAGACGCCGGCATCACGTATATCTGCAAAGGGAAACCCCATTGATAGAGTTGCCGTTACCACCCCCGGCTCTGCTTCGAGAGCGTGAAGTTGTTCTACTACCCCGCTCATTAGAGGTTTCATCGTACATTGCGCCGGCGGCGAGGTTAGCAGCGGCAGTTGGCGATACGCCATTGTCGGGCGGATATTTCCCCGAACTATGTCAAATATCACCTCTGCTGCTTCAACACCGCGGTCATAGCAATCGACATGCGGATAGGTGTCGAACCCGATAATTGTATCACTGTATTCCGCCATCTCAGCGGTGATGTTCGCGTGGAGGTCTAGCGTCACAACGATTGGGAGAGAACCGACAGTTTCACGCACCGATCGAATCAGATCGCCCTCGGCATCTTCGATCTCCTCCGTTGCCATTGCCCCGTGCAAATCTAGAAAAACCCCATCAATCTGCCCAGCGTTTCGCAAGAGGTCGAGGAATTCTCTTTTAAGCGTGTTGTACGCTCCTTGCTCGACTGCACCTGAAGGCATTGCGAATGTCCATAGGAGAGGGACAATCTGAATTCCTAACTTCTCCGAACTCTCAATAAACCCGCCGGTGATCGTACTCGTCTGTTTGAACGTTGAGATTATCCCATTGCCGACGTGGTAATTTCGCTTAAAGTCATCAATTGAAGCTGGCACAGATGAAAATGTGTTTGTTTCGTGACCGATGCAACCCGTTGCGATACGCATAAGTATATCTCCGTTCGTATAGCGTGCTGCGTAAGATGATTTCTTCTTATATATTCTACGCATGATAGCACAAAAAATCAGAAATTGAAAGGAAAATTGTGATGACACAGATCCAATGGCAGTCAGATCAGATTGAAGCAGCTGAGGACGCAGACCTGATAGAACTCTGTTATGAAAACGGTTGGACCGATGGTTTGCCGGTTGTTCCACCGACGCCGGATCGAGTAGAAAAAATGTTAGCCGGCACGAACAGACAGCCGGATGAATTACTCGCATCGATCCCCCCCAAGTGGGGTCACGCAACAATTGAACGCATCGCTATTAACGCGGTGATGGCTGGTTGTAAGCCGGAATATCTGCCGGTCGTCATCGCAGCGGTCGAAGCCATCACCGAGGAAGCGTTCAATCTGCACGGCGTCCAAGTGACGACAGCTGATTCCACACCGTTGTTGATTATTAATGGTCCCATCCGAAAGCAGTTGGATGTCAATGATAGTTTTAACGTTTTTGGACAGGGTTGGCGGGCGAACGCGACGATCGGGCGAACAATCCGCCTCATCGGCACGAATATCGGTGGTGCGTTGCCCGGCGAATTAGATCGCTCAACTTTGGGTCATGCTGGCAAATACACTTTCTGCATTGCCGAACGGGAGGAGGTGAGTTTGTGGCAGCCTTTGCACGTTGAACGCGGATTCCAGCCTTCTGACAGCACGGTGACAGTCCACGCAGGTTCCTCTCCATATCACATCGGTTCCAGTGGAAACACAGCAGAAGGCATCTTGGACACAATTTGCCACAGTATTTCGGCGTTGGGACCTCCATCCGCTGAAATTGTCCTTGTGTTTAGTCTCGAGCACATGAAGACAATCGCCCGCGATGGTTTTAGCAGGAGCGATATACAGGCGTATATTCACCAACATACAAAACGGCTTCCTGAAGATGTCATTATTGTCGTCGCCGGGGGTCCTGCAGGGCAATGGACGGTTGCAATTCCTAGATGGGGAGGTCCCACCCACTCAGTGACGAAACGGATTGAAGTATGAGGCAGAAAGACAAAGTTTGCCCCGAAAGGAACGGAGATTATCGACTTTATGAACAGAAGTGTTCAAGAAATGAACAATACGAAGGGCCTGTCTCGCCATAAATGGTGAGAAATGCGCTTACAGACGCCAAATCCAACTTTTATCGAGTTTGGCATACTATGTGCGTCCTCCTTTGAGATCCTGCAGTAACTGCGTAGCATTAGCGATCGCGAGGCTTCGCAGTTTCAATCTGTATTGGCACTTTATACCACAGGGGAGGACAGTCATGAAATCGCCGAAACCGCAGGTTTGGAAATGTTTAATTGCGTTAATGATATTGGTCGGTTGGGTTAGTCTTGAGAGCGTAGCAGCAGTTAAAAAGTCGGAAGTACGATCGATCCGTCGAAAAAGACACGTGACGGTCAACCCAAATGATACAGAAAAAAAGGACACTGTTGATATCGGTAAAAGTCTCGTCGAAATTGCTGAACGTGTGAGTCAGGATAGCGCGAACCAAGCCGTCGATCTGGTATTTGTTGTTGATGGAAGTGTGACCATGAAAGATCTGGGCAAAAAGGTTGAAAGACAGATTGCCGATATGGCACGAGTCTTTGAAGAATCGGTGATTGATTATCAGTTCGCGCTCGTTTGGTTTCAGAATATCGGTGGCTCACGAATCATAGTCAAACCGCTGCAGAGGGGGCTTCTTCCGATACAAGAAAACTTTGTTAGGTTACCGCTGGCGAAATTTAAAGGGCCAGCTGCTGGATATGGACTCGACGCGATTATGAAGGGTCTTACAGATTTGAAGTTCCGATGGGATGCTGAAAAACACTTCGTCGTTGTTACAAATTCTGAGTTGCAAACAACTTGGGGGACCGGAGACGAAAAAAACGAACTCTTTGAGAAGATCTTGGATTGGTGTAAGCAAGATGAGATTCGGATCAACGTCATTGGAATTGACGAAGAAATGCAAATGCAATTAGCCAACCGGACAGATGGCAAATGGTACGGGACCAAGGAAATTCGACGTAGGATCGAACATGTGCCTCTGATAAAAAGGTCTATGCTCGATATTGACGAGGTTTTTAAGCGTATCGCTCGACATATCGCTGCAACAGTGAAGCAACCCACCGATATAGTGTTTGTTTTTGACTCCAGCCTGAGCATGGACAATAAAATGGACGAGATCTGCACAGGTCTGGATTCGCTGGTCAAGGTTTTGGATGGCGAAAAGCTCGACTATCGTCTTGGTATTATCCGGTTCTGGGCAAGATCGGGGGGCGGTGAAAGTTCAGTTGTGATAACAAAACCGCCGTTAAATGCTGGACAGGTGAGGCAGATGTTTCGTATACTTGGACGTGGTGATGAACATCTGCTGGACGCAGTTATAGAGGGTGTACCCAAACTCCAAACGCCGGGTGATCGGAAACTGGTACTCTTTATCGTAACTGATGAATCCTCCAGTAGCGGACCGGGGAAAGAGTATACATCTGCAAAGGCGATTGCAGTCTGCCGTCAGACCGGCGCACAAGTGAACGTTATTGGAGGTATTGTGCCGGTGGGTCATGGTGGTGGATTTGTTGACGAATTCCAACGCGGTGTTACTGAGATTACAAACGGGCAATGCTACATCATGCCGGGAGCTGAGGTACAATTGCGGGATCGGCGCAACAGATAAAATCTTTTTTGCATCAATCATCAATTCCAAGCCCTCCTAGTGTTAAAATCGCTGGAAACACCCTCACATGGGGCACACATCGCCCGTGACCGGCGGCTCAAAGCATAACTATCCTACATGGAACCATCGGTCGCGGGGACGAAGTTGCTGTCCAACTATTCTAACCCTGTCAGCCTGAAACGTGGATTTCCTACTAATTAACAGAAGCTACTCATGTGTGAATTCGCACTCACGATGTCGCTAGATATCTGGTGCGGGCATTGGATATATGCGCCAAACTTGCCAGTAGTTACCTTTCAAGAGAGGGGGCCGCGTATTGGGATGGCTGTAACGACATCGGAGAATCGGCCAGCAGTGGGATCTATTTCTACGCGCTGAAGGCAGCGGATTATCAGAGAACGCGCCGGATGGCCGTTGTGCGATAAAATTGCTCCTCAAATCGTCATTACCAAGCGTATCAAATGCGAGGAAGGAGGTAAGCAGCATGTTTCGACAATAATTATCCAATTTGGAGGTTGGCGCGTATCATCGGGAATGAATCTACATATTTTTAGCTGATGGTTGTTACCTTCGTTTCAATTTGAACGTTTAGATTTAAAGATTGTAGTTATAAAACGTGTGCAATTTAAGCGGCACAAATGAGAATTTGTCCGAACACTTAAAAGCACTCTTAAACAGAATGGCACATCAAACGTCCTAGTATAATATTATTTGGATTTAAGAAAGTTGGCAGATTAATTGCATCCGTAGGAGGTGCCAATGAAATTATCGACTCGATTCCTTACTGTGACCTTGATTTTTATTCTCGCTTTTAGTATGAATGCCGGCGCAGACACCGTCAAGATGGATAAGGAAGTCCCCAACTTCACGCTTAAAGATGCAACGGACAAAGAGCATTCGCTCAAGGATTTGAGCCGCGACAAAAAGGCAACAGTTCTGATGTTCATTTCGACCCAATGCCCTGTTTCTAATGCTTACAATGAGAGGATCATCGCGCTACATAACGACTACAAAGATCAGGGAATACAGTTCATTGGGATCAACTCCAACAGGAATGAATCCGTCGAAGAGATAGTTGAGCATAACAAGACAAACAAGTTCAGTTTCTTGGTCCTAAAAGATCTGAAGAATGAAATTGCGGATAAATTTGTGGCAAAGCGTGCGCCTGAAGTCTACTTATTGGACGACAAGCGAATACTTCGATATCGTGGTGCTATTGATAATAGCCAGAAGAATCCCGAAACGCACTATCTACGCGAAACGCTTGCCCTTGTGGTTGCCGGAAAAGAAATTCCCGAAAATCTCAAAAAGACAAAGGCGTTTGGCTGCACTATCAAGCGCGTTAGGCGTGTTAGGAAGGAACCGAGTCGGGACCGTACGCCGTAGATACTAATCTCTGAATTTTTCAGGGAGATCGATAAAATCAAGATATGGTATGAGGAAAATTGGATGATTAAAAAAGTTCTTCGAGGCATACTCACGCTGTTTCTCATTGCTGCTATCTGTGTGATGATGCTGACCTTTGTTGGCGTTGGATTTGTCGGAGGCGTTGTCCTCAAATCATGGGATTCCATTGACGATATTGACTTGGGTCAACTGGAATACCGCGAGGTCAACACGTGGAAACAACACCTTGAGGTCTATTCCTCCCTTTGTACAGTCCAACAGGGAGATTCTGTTGATTTCCTTCTAGATAAATTGAAACGACTGGAGTATCAAGAAAGTGGAGAGTTCATCAAACCGAGTATCGTTGGGCAATATTCAATCGGGCGTGATGAACAGGGGCAACCTGAGAGGCTATGGATTTATCTCCAAGGTTTCCATTTCCCACGTGAAGATCGGGAACCATATCAGGTCGAACTTTCTGTGGTTGATGGAAAAATTGAGACAATCCAAAATGATGACGGTGAAAAAATAGATAGCTTTGATCTCAGGCCGGAGTTGCTCAACGCACTTTATGACAGAAAGGGTGAAGCCGAAGCACGAGAGATTGTGCAACTTGTGCAAATGCCAGACAGTCTGCTGCAGGCATTCCTTGCGGTTGAGGATCAGCGGTTCTACGATCACTGGGGTGTGGACTTTTTAGGAATTCTCCGTGCATCTGTTCACAATACTCAGCTATTTTTGGGGCAGGCGCAGGGAACACTTCAAGGGGCAAGTACGGTCACTCAGCAGCTCACACGGAATATCTATCTGACCCGTGAGAGACGACTTTTGCGAAAGGTGAAGGAGGCTCTGCTTGCTGTCCGCATTGAGCGTCAATTTTCCAAGTACGAAATTCTCGAAAGATATCTGAACCTGATTAACTTGGGACGATACGGCTCGCAGGAAGTACTCGGTGTCCAAGAGGCAGCCCAAAACTATTTTGGAAAAAATGTATGGGAGTTAGAGCTCCACGAGTGTGCCACATTGGCGGGCATTCCGAAATCACCAACACGCTATTCGCCAATACGCCATCCGGATCGTTCAAAAGAACGGCGTAATCTGGTGCTTGGATTGATGCTAAAGGCAGGTTTTATTAATGCAGAGGAATACGATGCAAATGTCCAGAAACCTGTTGTCATTGAGGTGCCCAAAAGCGCGCAGGGCACAGGCGGCTCGCATTTTTTGGAATATGTTCATGAACGACTGATAGAGGAACCTGAATTAGAAGGACATTTGTACAACCAAGGGTTAAGGGTATACACGACGATCGATCCCTCCATGCAAGAGATTGCAGAAAGAGCTGTTGCTGACCACTTGCGGGAATTAGATCAGAAGTTGAGAGTGGGGTCTAGTAGGTACAGAAGTCTGCCCGATTACGACGAGAATAAAAATAATCCAAATGGCATCAATCCGATTACCAGTTACTTGCAAGCGGGGCTAATCGCCCTTGAACCGCAAACAGGACACATCAAGGCAATGGTTGGGGGACGCGATTTTTATATCACTCGGCAGGAGATTAACTTTTTTAATCGATCTGTTGATGCATACCGCCAACCCGGTTCAGCTTTCAAGCCAATTGTTTTTGCAGCACTGCTTGATTTCCCCCCTTTAATAACACCAGCAACGATTGTCCGTGACGAAGCGTGGTCCATTGACGTTGGAACGCGGAGGAGATGGAGACCGCGGAACTACGGACAGCGCTACTACGGAGATATTACTGCGCGAAGAGTATTGGAGAAATCAATCAACATTGCGACGGCAAGAATGATGTGGGAAACGCCGATAGAGGAAAACGAGAAGCCCGCCGGTCTTAATAGAACACTTGCAATCGCCAAACGTCTAGGCATCGACGCCAATTTACCCGCATATCCGTCACTTGCATTAGGGGCAGGTGGATTGCCGGTACTCCAAATGACTGGTGCCTACTCTGTTTTTGCCAATGGTGGGGTGCGCAAGAAACCGATAGGTATTCACTATGTCGAAGATCAGTATGGGGACATCTTGATTGAAAATCAACCGCAGGCGGAACAGGTGCTCGACGAAGGGATCGCTTATCTCATGACACATCTCTTGAAAGGTGTGATTGATAATGGCACCGGTGCGGGGGCGCGTGTGATGGGGTTAAAACGTCCCGCCGCCGGCAAAACCGGCACGACGGATGATTATACAGATGCGTGGTTTGTTGGTTATATTCAAAATCTCGCCGCTGGGGTTTGGGTCGGGTTTAACGACCCAAAACAGAAGACACTGTTCCCAGGTGCCCGAGGTGCCTTACCCATTTGGGCTCGATTTATGATTGAGGGGGCACGCGGACCCATCAAAGATTTTGAGAAACCGTCCAACATTGTTTTGCGAAGTATTGATAAAAACACAGGAATGCTGAAATATCAAGGGAAATGTCCGGAGGAAGATATTATTAAGGAAGCCTTCATCGTTGGATATGAACCGAAGATGCTGTGTAATGCACACCGGTAGTACGTGAAACATGAAGCGCAAACAAAGAGTCAGAAACCAAGTTTTTACGGGAAAGAAACACAATTGGGGCGAAAGTCCAACCAATGCCTGTAGAGAATAACGATTGTTTTTCTTGTTGAGGGTATGCATGGCCCTGCTGGGAAGTGAAAAATATGGAAAAATTTGAGTTGGTTTCGGGCTATACGCCGCAAGGAGATCAGCCGCAAGCAATCCAGATGCTTACGGAAGATTTTCTGCGGAAGGGAAACGACCTTCAAACGTTGTTGGGCGTTACAGGTTCGGGAAAAACCTTCACGATGGCGCACGTCATCGCAAATTTGCAACGTCCTACGTTAGTTATCTCGCACAACAAAACCCTTGCCGCACAGTTATATAGCGAGTTCCGAGAATTCTTCCCAAACAACGCTGTCCACTACTTTGTCAGCTACTACGATTACTATCAGCCTGAAGCATATCTGCCGACTACAGATACCTACATTGAAAAAGACATACAGATTAACGAGGAGATCGATCGGCTGCGTCTCGCCTCAACTGCCTCGCTGCTCACCCGCCGTGACGTTATCATCGTTGCGAGTGTTTCCTGCATCTACGGCATTGGATCCCCCAAGGAGTACGATGGCCAACGAGTTGAGGTGAACCGTGGGGACATCATCAAAAGGAATAAACTCCTACGTGCGTTTGTGGATATTCGATATGAGCGAAATGACATCGATTTTTCGCGTGGGAGTTTTCGTGCACGCGGCGATGTGATCGAGGTTTTTCCTGCGTATGCGAATACCGCCTACCGAGTAGAACTTTTCGGCGACGAAGTCGAGCGGATCACCGAGATTGATACACTAACGGGCGAGATTTTGACGGAACATGAGGCAATCACACTCTTCCCTGCTAGGCACTTCATGACAGACGCTGAGCGATTTGAACAGGCATTGCTGGACATCGAAACCGAGCTGCAAGATCAGATCGATTACTTCGTTGCCAACAATAAATTGTTGGAAGCCCAGCGGATTGAACAGCGAACCCGGTTTGATCTTGAAATGATGCGGGAAGTTGGCTACTGTCAGGGCATTGAGAACTATTCGCGCCATTTCTCAGGGCTAGCCCCCGGCGAACCGCCCTACTGTTTACTCAACTACTTTTCTGATGACTATTTCATGATCATTGACGAATCTCATGTAACCTTGCCCCAAATTCGTGGGATGTATCGAGGAGACCGCGCCCGCAAGTTGACATTGGTGGACTACGGCTTCCGCCTGCCATCCGCTTTGGACAACCGTCCGCTCCAGTTTGAGGAGTTTGAATCGTATCTCCATCGAGCGGTGTTTGTTTCCGCGACGCCGGGACCTTATGAACTTGAGCAAAGTACGCAAGTGGTCGAACAGATTATTCGTCCCACAGGCTTAATTGATCCAAAGATTTCCGTCTGCCCGGTCGAAGGGCAAATCGATCATCTCATTGGGGTTATCAATGGACGGGTTGCTCAAAGGCAGCGTGTCCTTGTTACAACCCTCACCAAGCGCATGGCTGAAGATTTGACCGATTATCTCACCGAAGCTGGTATCAAAGCCGAATATCTCCATTCAGACGTTGATACCTTAGATCGGACACGAATCTTAAAAGAACTCCGGCAGGGGAACTTTGATGTTCTTGTCGGGATTAACCTCCTCCGCGAGGGGTTAGATCTGCCAGAGGTGTCGTTGGTCGCTATTCTTGATGCGGACCGGGCGGGCTTTCTCCGATCTGAAACGTCGTTAATCCAGACCGCGGGTCGTGCTGCTCGAAATCTTGACGGCGAGGTAATCTTGTATGCCGATGAAATGACCGATGCCATCCGCAGTGCTATCAGCGAAACGGAACGACGCCGCGAAATTCAGATGGCTTATAACGAAACGCACGGCATCACGCCAGCGACAATCGACAAGGAAATTCGTGATCTCATCGGTGAACTTGCTGCGGATGATGAGGGACCCGCGGATTCTCTGGGAGTCGAAACTTCGGAGGCAACATCTGAGGACGAGATCCACGCCTTGATTACCGATCTCACGAAGCAGATGCAGGAGGCAGCGGCGAATCTAGAGTTTGAAAAAGCGGCGACTTTGCGGGATGGGATTGAGGAGCTGAAGCGGGAACTTTGAAAGGTATTTAAATAATAATGCTACGGTGATTTCCTCTGCGATCAAAAACTTGACGTACTTCTAAACGTGAGTACTTGAAAGTACGTCAAGCCTGTGGAGACTACACTACTTCCATTCGTCATCGGGGGGCCAAATATTGTAACTTCCCCCTCCTGCCCCTTTGGGACCTTCGGCGAACCAGTCTTTTACCGTATCCCGCCACTTTATGAAGTGAGGGGCTTGCAGATGGGCTTGGAAAGCTGCCTCGTCCACGTAAATCTCGTAGAGCCAGATCCGGTTGGGATCTGCACCGTCCTGAATTACATCAAATCTGAGACAGCCGGGCTCATCCTTCACCGAGCCTTTGGCGTCGTCGAGCATGGCTTCGATGAATGCCTCCCTATGTCCTTCCTTAATCTGAATGGGTGCGACTATGACGTACATGTTTTCTCCTCCTTGTATAGGTAAACCTCTTTAATTTGCGTAACCGTCGCGATTATTCTGGCGCCAATCCGGCAGGTATCCTCCGCCTACCCCAAATCCATAAGATGGTCCAATTTGGTTTTCGGTTCGCCAGGGCCATCCCTGTCCCCCGATAACCCGAAATTCGTCGCCCTTTCCGCATAGCCAATAAAGCATGTGAGCGACGTATCTGGCGACGCGATGCCCTCCGTAATAGGCGCGCTGGAAATCAAAGTCCGGTTCGATAATCCAATCCCTTTCTGGCGGTACAGTTCGCCAGTAATTGTATTTCAGCATGTGGCGCAGCCCTTTTCCAGTCGATTCACCTCTCCGATGTAGAATGCTTTGAGAGTGGAGGGCAAACGTTCCAGCAGGGTCCACTAGTTAGTACACCTGGATCCGCCGGGTCACGTTGGACGGGCCCGAAATGTGTTCCTGGCACTATCTCAGTGGGGCCCATCTCCAGTGGTGTATCTTGAGGGAAGTAAAAAACCTCAATGAAAGTTGACTTCCGGTCCGAAGATATGGTCGGCATCCTGATGCCACCCTTGGGCGGGTGCAGGACATTCAATACTGTGGTTGCTCACCAGCACTGGGATCCCCACATTCTTACCGAGTAGTGATCTCAGAGCACCAGCGAGTTGTTCATTGAGAAGTACGTGTTCAATAAACCAATCCTCAAGCAGGATTGTGCTCGGCTCATGAGAATTACGGATTCGTTCTAAATCCGCTTCGGTAAGACCTTCAGGAATATAGCTGGGATTAGCCGGTATTTTTCCTCCCAAGTAATCGCATGCGCGTTGGTTGATTTCATCGGGGACAACGCCTTCCAATGTCAGGAAACCATCTCGACAAAATTGCAGAACCTGCGTGTCGGTGAGGGTAGGTTCGCAATCAAAAGTCCAATTCGTCGCATTGTAGTTCATAGTGAATTACCTCAATTTTTCTGATAGGGGTTTTCGAGCATCACGTTACGGATTACAAACAAGAAGTGACTGAAGTTGCCACTACGAAACCATATATGTAATATTGATTATTTCATTTTCGGTTCTATTTTCGCAGAAATTCATCTGAACGTCAAGGGAAGAATAGTTCGCAGTCAACTTTCTAGTGACACGGTAGCTGTAAGATGTTATGCTGTCATGCAAGGATTCAAAGCTTATCATCGGAGATCAATTCGTGCCGCCCTGAAAGGAGAACTTTGTGAAAGTCACCGAAATCGAAGTCCATCAGATCGCCCCCGAATATCAAGACTGGATTGCCTACCAACTCAACCACTATTCAGGTCCCGCTAGTCGCACAATATACGTGGTGCATACAGACGACGGACGGGTCGGACTTGGGGAGGGTGGCAGACCCGAACCACAGGAAGTCGTCGATCAGTACATCGGCACCAATCCCTTCAAATGGGTTGGGGACGAAACCTCACTGGCTTTAGGGACAGCCATGTACGATTTAATGGGGCAAGCCGCCGGTGTGCCGGTCTACCAACTCTTTGGGCAGAAGACTCGCTCATGGGTGCCCGTGAGCAGTTGGACGGTATCAACGCATCCACAGCGTATGGCGGAAGCTGTAGAGCGGTACGCAGCGCAGGGCTACACTTGGATGAAGTTCCACCTTTCGCCCTTTGAAAACGTCTTTGATCAGACTGAGGCTATGGAGGCGGTGGCACCCAAGGGTTTTAGGATTCATTACGACTTCACCGGGGGTGGGACGGACGACTACATGCCGGGATTGCTGGGCAAATTGGCGACAGTCGCCCATTGCCGGTTGCTTTGAGGATTGCATTGACGCCGGGGATACGCTGGCTTCGAATCGATCTGCGCCATCGAGTGCCGCTGCCCATCGTGCGGCATCAAGCACCGCTGGAGGCCACCTACGAGGTGCTGATGGGGGCTGGGGATGTGTATATGCGGGGACATCAGAAGATAGGTGCAGCCATACGTTGTGCCGGTCTCTTTGCTGCGGGCAATATTCCCTTCATGCTACAGAACGTCGGTGGCACTATCACCCGAGCGATGACGACGCACATGATGGCGGCCTTTCCTACAGCCACCTTCCACTTTGTTACCACCACGGAGATTTATAAGAGCGATGTTGTGAGGGAAAGAGTTGGATCCAGTCAACGGATTTGTGCGAGTGCTAGAAGGGCCCGGTCTAGGTCTCACGCTGGATCGTGACGCACTAGAGCGACTCAAACATCTGGAGTTGCCAGCGACAGGCACCGTGGATTATCAAGTCCCGTTTTGCCAACGGTTCAATGATGTATAATCGCTATGATCCTGCTAATACTAGGCACTTCATGGTGAGGCCAGATTGGCGTGGCGGGTTGGTTCCCATGAGTTACGATGCACCCATTGAGACCGAGTATTGGGATGACGATGGCACCCCGAGCATATAGGGATATGCTTCAGCGAATCGAGCGGGAAGGCATGGTTTTAGAGAGGTAGGACAATCCAATACACTAGTTTTTGAATGCAGGCATGACCTCTTTGGCGAACCGGTCGAGTTGTTCCAGAATCACACCCTCCGGTGTACCTACAGCGTTATTTGACGGTCACTTGATCAAGTCCAGGATAGCGTTTTTGAACGTCCATCAATTTTTCAACGATTAATTCCGGCGGTCCGCACAGCCACGAACCTGCATTCACAGCGTCCTGCAGCGTTGGCAAACCGGCGGTGCGTGCCTTCTGCGGATCTGCCGTCGCCGCAATCTGCTCGTCTGTCAATCCACGCACGAATCCCAGAGGTGCGAACATCTTCATGTGCTCTTCAAAGTAGCTACTCGCCTCCTCGATCGCCTTCTCCTCCGTATCGGCAATGTGGTAGGAGAAGCCGATAATAAGGTCGCCCCCCAGTTCCATCTCCCTGCCATGATTCGCTTGCACCTGCTGCCAAGCATGTATTACTTTTTCTGCAGCACCACCCGCAGCAGCACCGCCACCGATCATTCCCTTGATGCCGTGTTTCGCCATAAGGTTGAGTCCACGTTCGCTAGCACTGACGATAGGCTGCCAGCACTCCACGGGCAGATTGGGCGGACGAGGCACTAGTGTAACCTCCTCCAATTCATATCCACGATACGGAACCTTGGGCGGGATATCGTAGTACTTGCCGTGATGGGAGAAGGATGATTCATTGAACGACTTGAAGATGATGTCAATCTGTTCCTCAAACATCTCGCGATTGGCGTCCCCATCAAGCAGAGGTGCACCAAAAACCTCCACCTCGCGTGTATGATAGCCTCGCCCCACGCCAAAGACGATGACGTCCACCCGTGAGAAGGTCTGCGGTCGCATAGTCTTCTGCCAGCCGTAGTGGGTGCCACATCGGTGTAACGTTGAAAGCACACCCAATCTTGAGTCTCTGCGTCAGGTGAGCAAGATGAACGCCGAGCATCAGAATGTTGGGGATGCACTCGTACCCCTCGCGCTGAAAGTGGTGTTCAGCCAGCCAGAGGGTCTCGTAGCCGGTGCGATCCATGAGTTGGGCAATGGCTTGGGTTTTATCGAATACGGTTGCTATATGTTCATCGGAGAGCCAACGCTTGTTGACAGGGGGACCATCAAGTCCTACATCTTCCAGATCAACATGTCCTGCGAATAGTGAGCCAAACTTCGTAATCATTTTCCTGTCTCCAGACCTGTCTCCAGAATAGTTATCAAGTTGAGTCAGATCTCCCAGTCTAATTGATACTGTTTGAACGTTGGCTAATCGCCTTACTATTGGTGAGCCTTACGAAAATTTCAAACTTCCGCACGGCTCACCCAATGTGAGGTTCGTTTTTACCTCCAGGATTTACGCATTTCAGCGCGGGGCAAGATGCCCCGCCTACAGTTGGCTGCGTAAGTCCTAACCTCTATACTTCTGGTGCTGAAACGCCATGGGACGCTGCTGCCTCAACCAACCGATCCCACGTTTTCTCTTCGATTGGGATGCCCTCTTTCATACGTTGTTCACGGTTCCGTTCCTCAAACTCGCCGGGAGCGAGCACTTCATCCACACCGGGCAGTTTTCAGAGGACTTTATCCATTCCGTCAGATATTCAGTCTCCTCCTGATAGACATCAAGATCGATGAAATCCTGAATCTTGATAGCGAGCATTACAATCCCACTTGCTCCACGCGTGGGTTCTTGACGACTACAACCCGCCCACGAAAGCCCACCGGCGATGGCGTCAATCATAAATCCTAAGCCGAACCCTTTATGCCCAAATTGAAAACCGCCCACCGGCATCACCGCTGTATCGTCATGGCGGTCTATGAAAGCGTTCGGATCGGTGACCGTCTTTCCTTCCGAATCAATCATCCAACCTTCTGGCATCTCCTCATCGCGCGCACGCTTGACCAGTATTTTTCCCCCTGCAACAACACTCAGCGTCATGTCGAGCATCAACGGTTCACCATTTTTACGCGGGACTGCGATTGCGATTGGGTTGGGTGGGAGTCTTCGGGAGGTGCCGCCAAAGGGGTGCATAAATCGTCCGCCGCCATTTAGGAAGACAAGCCCGATCATCCCCTCGTTCGCGGCGAGTGGGGGATACGTCCCCATCCGTCCGGCGTGTCCACAACGGTGGAGCCCAACCCCGCCGAATGTATGTGTTTTCGCTTTTTCAATTGCCATCTCCATCGCCTTCTGAGCAATGACCATGCCGAGCCCACCGTTGGCGTTTATCACCGCCGTTGCAGGGGTTTCACGGACAATTTCTATCTTATCCGTCGAGGGACCGACCGCTCATACCGCCTGCGTAGTTGGGCGCATTGATCACGCCGTGTGAATCGTGCCCCATGAGATTAGAATCTACGACATGATCGCTGACGATGCGCGCGTCTTCCTCAACGCCTCCAGCACCGATGTACATATCGTAAACAAATTTCCTTAAAACATCATGATGAATTGTAGGCATAAAAGCCCTCCCTTATTGATATTTTTTGCGATTCTCTGCGAATCGCAATTGTGCTTCTTGATGTGTTTCCTGTTGGCTAACCGTTGGTATGGGCGGTATTTTACTTTTTAGCACTATTTTGGTGTGATCGATTGCTTTGACAGACTCAGGACTGTGAAATTCTGGCTGTAACGCCTCCCAATCTTGGTCACGGAGTGTGGTAACTTTGTCTAAGTAAACACTGACCCATATATCTCCAACCTGGGAATTCGATACCTGTTGTTCCACTTTATCATGGGCAATTGTTGCGTACACTTCATCGAGTTCAAAACCGACGTAGTGTCGTCCAAGTCGCTTTGCAGCTATTGCTGTTGTTCCTGTCCCCAAAAACGGGTCAAGCACAGTATCACCTTCATCAGTAGACATTAAGATAATGCGTTCTAACAAATGAATCGGCAATTGACAAGGATGCGGATCGCGATATTTGTTGTGCTTTATCCGATGAATATCTGTCCACGTATCTGGAACAAGCGGGCCAAAAGGATGCAACAGCCCCTTTTTCCCGCCGTAGTCCTTATGCAAATAGTTGCATTTACGACAACGTTTGTGCGGATAACGAATTTCGTAAAATTAATTTTGCTTTGCATCTTTGGCATAAAATAGGATGCCGTAATGCGCAGGCTGAAGCGTTTTCCCCATCGGTGCTGTGGGGGCATCCCACGAAATCCAATGCTTAAAATCAGCGAGTTGTTCAAAAAGCCCGCATAGTACGTCAACCATTTGGGGATGTTATGTACAAAAATTGACCCCGTTTCCTTCGTGACACGCACCATCTCCGAAATCCATTTTTCGCACCAGTGTAGATATTCCTCCAATTCAAGGTTATCTCTCGTGCTGTGGTATTTCTTCTTCAGATTAAAAGGCGGGTCAGCGAAGGTCATATCAATACTGTTATTGGGAATTTGGCGAAACAGTTCGAGACAATCGCCTTGAAGAATCCGATCGGTATATGTTTCCACTAGTTTTGAAATTCCTTTCTCAAAAATTCCTCAAATCGTGAGATTTCTTCTTTATGGAAAGTGAAAACGTCTTCGTAAGCAGCTACCATTCGTATCAAGTCGGTCTTGCGAACATACCAACCGATGCCATCGACAAAACCGATGAATTTTGCCTCTGGATAATATTCCTTGATAAGTTTACCAACATTTATTTCTGTCTTTGATTTGTCCCCTTGCCCGGAAGAAGTAGTTGCTACAAACGAACATTCAATAATAACTCGTGGCTTTTGACTGTTAGGAATAATGAAATCCATCGTTCGCTTCAGGTCTGGTTCACTCTGGGCAAGTTTGTCCAAATCACCTGTCTCAGAAGGAAGTTCCAACCTGTTAAGCAATTCCGCTATAACAATCTCAGCATTGCTACTCTTTTTACCAGTATATGAGCCTTTCTCTTTATACCTCACCATCGTATCAATCATCGCTGGCACTTCAAATTTCAGCTTGGAAATACTCAGCTTTTTAAGTTCAAACAGAGGAATTGTGTCTGCCAAAAAAGGAATTGTTGCGCCCTCAAAAAAGATATTTGCTATCCCTTTTCTGAAATGCTCACTTTGGTGGATTATCTTTACTATCTGAGTATCTGACCACTCTTTGAGATCTCCTAATGATTCATTGGGGCACCACTCGTCCTTTAATACCAACTTTGACAACTCTGAGTCGTCAGCAACACGAATGAGTGTAATCAATCGCTTGAAGGATTCATTGGAAAAGCCGGTTAGAGTTAAGAGTGTAGTTAAGCCGTTTTCTTTTTCAAGTAACTCTTCAATGAGTTCCTTCCTTAAACCACTGGTTTCTACACTGTTTTTGAGAACAAGTAGCGTTTCCTTTATTGAATTCAAATAGCCTTCATATGTTTCCTCAAAGGCCGGATTGGAGAAATAGAAGTATTTTTCTCAATAACCGTTCTGAACTTACTTTCTACTGATCTCATCCCTTGCTACTACCTTTTAGATATAGTTATCCCGCACCACAACACAGGAATTGAGCAAGACCTTACGAGTGATTTCGTTAGTCTGACGTTGCCAAGACACATTGACATTATAGCATTGCACTAACAGCAAACTCAAGCACATTATCCAGTTGACTGAGGGATATTTCGTGAAGCACGTGCATAGTTCCGTGAGGTTTCCCTGTCTCTCTACTTAAACTGGTTGCCTAGGGATCACGCACTCTCTCCAGCCGCAGCTTCGATCCCTTCAACGGTAGCTGAACTCTTGCCCCGTTCTGCAAGTGCGATTCCATGAACGCAAAGATTAATTCCGTGCTCGCATGTGCCACACGGACACCGCAACGGGATGGCTCGCCGGTGTCGAGTGAATGAACCAGATCTTTGATGAGATTCGCCGTGCTGCTGCTGCGCTTCAAACTCAGGAAAAGGCTCCGGTACAAAACAGTCTCGCCACCCCGGAACGTCGGCTTGACGTCGGATGTGCCACTGCCAACCATTATTCCAGCATGTCACAGTTCCCTTTTCACAGATTGCTTCCCACTCGCTACCGCGCGGAGAGAGGAGGGCATGTGCCGTGACGCCGTTTTCAAACTGAATCATCCCCTGACCATTTGGATCTTCCCGAACAATATCGCCGTCGAAGATGCTGTCGTCATCGGTGATATGGGCAGATGCCCACAAGGCACGAGTGGTCGCTGTTCAGACGGAGGATTAGGTCGAACTGATGGCTAGAACCGTTAAAAAGCGAATGGTTGCCGTAGATGATTAGCGTCTTGAGTGCCCCCAATTCACCGCTGTCGATAACCTCCTTCATCTTGTCGAAGCCGGTGTGCCAACGACGATTTGTACCCAAGTTGAAGAAAGCTCCGTTGCGTTCCACCGCTCCACCATTGCGTCCGCCTCGTCCATAGAAGCCGCCATCGCCTTTTCCGCATAGATCGCCTTGACCCCATGCTCTACAGCGTAGATAACAACTTCGGCGCGGTGTTCCGGCTGCGTTGCCACACTTACGATGTCCAAGTTTCCTTTGTCGATGAGTTCCCGATAGTCGGTGTATTGTTGTTCTTTTGGCACATTGTACCGTTCTCCAAAAACCTCCATGACATCTGGACGCAGATCTGCACAAGCGACGAGATCTGTCCGTTCCTCGGCATAAAAGCCCTGCCGCGTGTGAATACGGCAACCGGATCGCCTGATAATCCGGTACTTCATTGTCAATAAATGCCCCCATCCGGCTACAGCCGATGACAGCGGCGCGGTAAGTTTTCATCGTTTTGCCCTCCATGGTAAAATGTAAAATTTATTCTCTCACAACAAGCCTTCTAAATATGTTATCTCACAAGTGGTTACGAAAATCACCACGTATAGCAGCTTACCCAATCCCGTACTCCTTCCACCGCTTTTCTACCAGATCGATGATTTCCTGAGACATCGTGATTTCGTCGGGCCACTCCCGCTGATAACCCTCCTCGCGCCATTTGGTCGTTGCATCAATCCCCATCTTCGATCCCGCGCCCATCAGCGGCGCAGCATGATCAAGCACATCAACGGGACCCTCGACGATGGTTACATCCCGTTTGGGATCGACGTTACTGCCAACTCGAAAAAGCACTTCATCGACATTCTGCACATCAACATCTTTGTCAACAACGATGATAATCTTGCTGAACATCAGTTGACCAAGCCCCCACAGGCTGTGCATTATCTTCTTTGCGTGGTAGGGGTAACGTTTGTCGATGGAGATTAAAGCAAAGTTGTGGAATACACCGAACAGCGGCAGGTTCATATCGACCAACTCCGGCAGTTGCGTCTTGATCAAAGGCATAAAGATTCGCTCCGTTGCCTTGCCCATGTAGCAATCCTCCATCGGCGGTTTGCCGACGATAATTGTCTGATAGATGGGACGCTTGCGGTGCGTGATAGCGGTGATGTGAAAAACGGGATATTCGTCTTCAAGGGAGTAGTAGCCGGTGTGATCGCCGAACGGTCCTTCAATGCAGGTCTCGTCCGGTTCGATATACCCTTCAATTACGATGTCGGCATCTGCGGGGACCAACATATCGATTGTTTTGCACGCGACCATTGGTACATTGGCTTTGCGGAGAAACCCTGCAAACAGGAGTTCATCAATACCACTTGGAAGTGGTGCAGTGCCGATATAGGACATGACCGGATCACCGCCGATAGCGACTGCAACCGGCATCCGTTCACCGCCTCACGGTATTCGCGGTGATGTCCGGCACCATCATGGTGGATCTGCCAGTGCATTGCCAGCGTGCGTTCATCGAGTTTTTGTAGCCGATACGTGCCGACATTGCGTTGACCCGTTTTCAGGCTATGCGTGAAAACCTGCGGCAAGGTAATGTATTTATCTGCATCAAGGGGCCAACATTTGATGAGCGGGATGCGATCTAATGAAATTTGCTCGTCAGTCCAAACCACTTCTTGACACGCACCACGCTTAACCGTTTTCGGAGGGAATTTTGTCAGTTTGCTCAGAATACCGAGGAGTTTCACCTTGTCGAGCAGCGATTCTGGGGGACCGAGCTGGATCATGCCTTCAATTTCATCGGCGATTTCGTTCATATCTCAACGCCGAGTGCCATCGCCATCCGCCGATAGGAACCAAACGCGTTAATCAGCAGTGGCATGTCGCTGCCCTCAACTTTTTCAAACAGCAGTGCCGGACCTCCCTCCTTACTCACCCGATCTGTGATCTGTGTAATCTCAAGGTCTGGGGAGACTTCGGCTTTGATTCGCTTTAATTCACCAGCTTGTTCTAACTCTTTTACAAAATCTCTCAGACTGGAATATGCCATATTATTTCTGTTTTCCTTATGTCTATTATCAAAGGTACTTGGACAGTTTTGTGAATGCTGTTTTGAGAAAAAATGGGATGATATTTAGAGTAATAAAAATAGTCCCAATCCAAAACCCAACAAAATCGGATAAATCCCCGAAGCTAAGAAAAGCGATTAAGATCGAGAGCCAAAAGTTCTCACTTTTAAGTTCTTTAATGGGGTAGAAATTTCGGCTCTCACGACAGGAGCACCCTATCTTAACTCGCTCTTTGCCGATACACTCGCCCGCCCTTGACAACAGTCACCGGCACAAAGTTCTGCCTGCCGATACGGGTTTCGCCGCGCGAATCTACCAATTGAAATTCGCCTTCGCGCAGTTCAGAGATAATTGCGTCTCCCCAAGCGCCCGGTGCCAGTGTGCCAATTTTGTCCGACATCAGAATCACCTCTGCCGGCACTGAGGTAACTTTCGCGATGGCATCGTTGAGCGACATGCCGAGATGGAGGAATTTTGTCACAACATTTGCCAAGTCGTAGACGGGACCGTTGACATTGTAGATGTGCAGATCTGACGAGATTGTTTGTGGTGCAACACCTTGGCGCATCGCGCTTTCAACGGTATCCCATGAGAAAGACCCTGCACCGTGACCCACATCAAAGACAACGCCGCGTTCCATCGCCTCATGCACAGACTTACGAACCTTACCGTTGTCGTCCAAGATGCCACATTCGCTTTCATGGAAACAGTGTGTTACGATGTCGCGCTCGCCCATAACTGCCAAGATGTCATCTATCGAATCGCACCAGGCGGCTTGCGGGTGCACCATGATGGGTAGACCTGCTGCGTCTGCCGCTTCGCGCGCATGGTGCAGCGGAATCATCCCGATCGCTCACTGACAATACTGTGCTTTGTCAACCGTACCTTCACTCCCAAAATTACATCGCGGTGCTTTTCAATCATCGCGCAGGCTTTGTCCACATCGGCGTATTCGGGGATTTCAAACTCGCCAATTTCTTGTGTCAGCATCCCTTGTGACGAGATATTGATTTGCGCCAAGATGCGCGTTTCACTCACATCAATTACGTACTTGCGAAAGCCGGGAAAAATATCGGCACCCGCCGAACCGGCATCCACCACCGTCGTGGCTCCTTTTGCCAAACAAGTTGGGTCCGGTTCGATGCCGAAATGACTGACGCCGTAGAACACTTGGACGTGCAAATCAATCATGCCCGGCGTACAAGGCATCCACTGGCGTCCAATACCTCAAGCGCGTCTGTTTTTGATAGGTTGTCATCTACTGCGGCGACAACGCCGTTTGAAAATGCTACATCTTTGTTTGCGTGAATATTTCGTGCGGGATCAATCAAGGTTCCGCCTTTGATTAACAAATCGTAAGCCATGTTATAACCTCCAAGTTGTTCTCATAAACTTTGTAGATGTTAAGTTAATCCTCAGAAAAATGTACACCTCTTGCCTTTAATCTGGGAATATTGTTCGTGATAGAGACTTCGTTCAAGGGATTAGATTTCTACGGAGATGACATCACCTTGTCCGAGTCCAGGATTGTTGACCAACGGGTAAATATCGTGGATTTGATTCTCCTTCAGGTCGAGTTCATACAAGTTTGCCAATTCTGCGAGAGGCGTTACATCGTGGATCTGATTCTTCGCCAGATAAAGCCACTTTAAGATTTTTTAACCCAGCGAGGGGATGCACATCGCAGATTTGGTTGTCCGTTAACTCAAGCCGTTCGAGATTTTCTGATTCTGCAAGTGGACAAACGTCGTCGATCTGATTTTCGCCGAGATAAAGCCATTTCAGATTTTCCAACTCTCCCAGTGACTGAATATCACGAATCTGATTCTTGGATAAGTCCAGACTCTCCAAGTGTATCAGTTCTGTCAGCGGGCGTATATCACAGATCTGGTTGTTATTTAGGTAAAGCCGTTCCAGATTTATCAGTCCAGCAAGCGGTTGAATATTGCGAATCCGATTATTATTTAAGTCAAGTCGCTCTAGGTTTACCAATCCAGCGAGCGGCTGAATATCATTGATTTGATTGCTGTTCAAGTCGAGCCACTGCAGATTATTTAACGCAGCGATTGGGCGAATATCACTGACTTGATTATTGCCTAGATCGAGCCATCGCAGTTTTCTAGCTTTGCGATTGGACGAATATCTTTGACTTTTACACCAATCAGGCTAAGATGCACCAAGTTCCTACAATACTCTAATCCCTCCAGATTGGCGATCTCTGTGTGTATCGCCGAGAGGTGTGTGATCCTTGCCAAATCGCCATCGGTGAGCGGATTGGAGGGGATACCTAACTGCGATCGAAGCGCACTTTCCAGATTTGCATCAGGGATATCCACTGCTGTCCCGATTACATCGGGATTCAAAGCGACTTGTGAAGTAAAGGTAAAAATCAATAGGGATATGCAGAGTACAGACATCTCATCTGAATCTTTTCAGAAGTAGAAACGGTATAAAGGCACCGGCAATTCGTCAGGTTGATAGGATATTATACACTAACACGGGTTTGAAAACAAACCTTTGGATTTGGGCTCTGTGGATGTTGGTTAGATGAGAAATGCAACTGACCAGTTTTTCCGTTGCAAGGTTATGTGAGGTGTGCTATAATGTGCAAACTATTGCTCAGTCAAAACGTTATCACTTGAACCTTCTTGATTAAAATCTACTGGATTCTCAGGATTGAGTTGATGAATTATTTAGGATTTATTCTGTTCAATAAAAGTTGAGGAATGGGCTGGTTCATTCCCTTCCTCATCGGTTATGGAGGGGATGCATTACCTCCTTTGAATTTCAGGTTTTTAAGGTTATCGGACACCGTGAACCTTTCCCCACTTTCATGGGGACATACTCAAAGGCAGGGAAGAACAATGAACTTGCGAGATATTTCACTTGGACGCCATGCCCCCTCAATCATCAATGTTGTTATCGAAGCACCAAAGGGGAGTCGGAAAAAATATCGCTACCACGCAAAAAGCCGAAAATTTCGGTTAGCGTATGAATTTAGTATGCCAGTGCCAACAGAATACGGTTGGATTCCAGAAACGGTCGCTGAAGATGGGCATTTCCTGAATGCAATGGTAATTGCTGCCAACGCTAGCCACCCCGGCTACGTCTGTGAGGCGCGACCCATCGGCGTGCTAAAACGTAAGGACCGAGACCATCATGTTATCTGTGTGATGTTGGGCGATGAGCGTTACACTGCGGTCAAGGATATTTCTGACTTGGACGTTAAGTTACTTAAAAGGATCGTGCAGTTTTTTGAACCCTACTTTGAATTATCCGGTTGGCTAAATCGTGCCGAGACGATCGAGGTGATTAAAGAAGCACACGAAGCATACATTGCGGGCCCTAAACCCCGTAGCCCCGTAGCCCGAATAGACGATGATCCCGAAGACGATGAGGATGCTGAAGGCATTGATGAAAATCTTGAAGAAACCAGCGTGGCAGGAGAGGACGCTGAACGGGTAGACCATGGCGACCAAGGGGAGACGGAAGATGCCGATTCCGACAATTGAATGGGTTGATGGTAGAATCCACTTAATCGATCAAACCCTCCTGCCGAATGAATTCAAACAGATTTATTGTGACGATGTAGAAAGCGTTTGGGAGGCGATTAAATCACTTCGAGTTCGTGGGGCACCCGCGATCGGGATTGCGGGCGCGTTGGGGGCGGTGCTTGGGATTTGGAAGTCGAAAGCGACCAATTACCCCGATTTTGCAGCTGAACTCAAAAAGGTGACGGATTATCTGGCGACCTCACGCCCGACGGCAGTGAACCTGTTTTGGGCGCTGACGCGCATCGAGCAAACAGCGGAAAAGCACAAAGACCTTGAGATTGAGCAACTCAAAGGTGTTCTTCTTGATGAAGCACAAAACATTATTGAAGAGGACCGAGCGAGATGTCGTGCTATCGGTCAACACGGATTAAATCTCCTCCGTAACGGTGATACCATCTTGACACATTGCAATGCAGGAGGACTCGCCACCTCTGATTACGGCACAGCCCTAGCGGTTATGTTCTCTGCACACGAGTCAGGAAAGAATATCAGTGTTTACGCCGATGAAACCCGCCCGTTGCTGCAAGGCGCGCGGTTGACAGCGTGGGAGCTTATGCAAGCAGGGATTGATGTGACGTTGATTTGTGACAACATGGCTGCACAGGTCATGAAGGAAGGAAAGATCCAGTGTGCCATTGTTGGGGCGGATCGGATTGCCGCAAACGGCGATACCGCCAACAAAATTGGAACCTATAACGTTGCGATATTGGCAAAGGTACACGACATCCCTTTCTACGTTGCCGCGCCAACGTCAACGCTTGACCTCTCCTTGAAAACAGGCGACCTGATTCCGATTGAACAGCGTGCCGCCGAAGAAGTGACGGAAGGTTTCGGTAGCAGGACAGCACCCGAAGGGGTCAAGGTCTACAGTCCCGCCTTTGATGTCACCCCCGCCCACCTCATCACAGCAATCATCACAGAAAAGGGCATCGCCCATCCCCCCTATGAGGAGAGTCTTGCCAGCCAAGGCGATTAGCAAAGTACAAATCCGTGAACTCCGTCTCGGTTGTCCAGATCACAAACACTTGAGATTTTGGACAAAGGCACACGCAACCCGCCGTGTGGGTATTTTTCTTAACGAGCTCCTCTTCCCGCATCTATCCATGTCCACCCTGAAGTAGCCGAATCGCCGTTGCTGCAATTCGATCTCCGGCATCTGGACACAACTTACTAGACCGTGCGGTTCGTGGTTCATACCCCCCACCGACAAATGCTTGCGGTGTTGGAACGTACCCGACACAACCGTTAGCAAGAGAGACAATAAACGTCGGATCAAAGGGAGAACACTCCTGAATATCCAAACCATACTGACAGAAGTACTCCGCAGGCACAGCAATCAGTCCCGCTGAACCGATCTGCATCATTTGTACCTCTGCCGTAACGCTCGGCTCGATTTCCTTGATTTCTTTGAGCAATTCAAGTTCCCTTGCCCAAACTGCTTGATCTCCCCAAGACTGTGCTTGGTTGAGCGACGCATCGCCGAGGTCACGTAAAGGAAGTTCGAGTGTGTCAGTTGTGCACGCCAATGGAACCTCATCTGTATAATCCATTCGCGCTAACACCTTGACGACCTCCGCACCAACTGTTGTGCCGACATGCCAGCCCCAGCATTCACCGGACTGCTTCCCTCGATCTCTAAGATTATCGACTTGCGTGACATCGCCTGATGCCCCGTTTCCGAAGACGATGATCGCATGGTCAGCTCTCATTGCCTGCTGAACGGTTTTTCTCAGATAGTAGATGTAGTCGGCAGAAAAGCCACCCCCGCCGACACCCAGTGTGGCATGGCAACAGTAGTTGACCCAGCATCCAAGAAATCTACACGATTGATTTATAGCACCGATAACCCCGACCATTGGGTCAATAGGTCCTGCGACTTGAACGATATCGGGGTTGCCCACCCCTGGATGCGTGCGCTCCGAACCATCTTTCATGCGGAAGCGTCGGTTGAAGGCAACGCTTCCTTCGTGCCCTGCACCAATAATCAGCGTTGCGGGTTCTCGCTTCTCGTATCCCTCAATTGCTGCTTGTGCTATTTGTGCAGCAACGAAGTCGCAGTAAGCCGCATTCGACTCACTCATAAAGACATCGGCGGTAGGTCCGCCGTTATGCCGTGTGGCTTGCTGCAATCAACACATTGTCCGCGGGAATGCCGGTCGCATCTGCAATTTGTTGTCGTGCATTCAGTGTTGTTGAGCGTTTAATTGATAGTGCATCAAGCCCCGCTAGGACAAGCTGTGTGTTGCCGTCGTCCACTACCATTGCATTTACAAGGAGGTCATCATGTACATTTTGAGAAAAGCGCTTGCTAATACCTCCGGGCATTTCTGCACCGATTTTTGGTGTAACGATGCGTTGACCGAATCCTACTTGAATCATTGTGAACTTTCCTCTGATTTGAGCGTTGTTGAGTTAGATGCTTACGATTTTGTGGATTGTAAAGAAAAGCCGGTGTGGTGATTATCTGTGACTTACCAAAATATGCTGAAGAAACTGGATTCCTTCGGAGTTTCATCCAGAGAATCGTTAATAGAGATATACAAAGGTTACTGTACTCCACTTGAAGGCTTTATCTGCCTGTGGTATAATGCCAAAATTGGTAAACATTAAATCATTCTACCATGAATTCAAATAAAGCGTTGCTGAAAAGATCCGCTCTAGGGCGAGAAAAACGTGCGAAGATTTGGAAACTTCGGGTGCTTGATATGCAAAAAATGGCATTAGACTGTCGATGGTTTATTGTTGTTTTGTTATCTTTTATCGGATGTACCTTTACTGCGCCTGACGAGGCACCAGAAGTGATAGATCAATCCGTGCCCTGGGGATCAGCCGCGCTTTTTAAGCGATCAGGTCAACGCTATCGCAGCAGATGTCAAACACATCTGGGTTGCAACCGACAAAGGGATCAATCGCTTCAACAAACACGAAAATTTGTGGATAAGCTACACCGTCGAAGATGGATTGGCTAATAACAAGGTCTCTAGCGTGGCGGTAGATGGGGATGTTGTCTGGTTTGGCACAGAATCCGGTGTTTCAAAATATCAGCCCAAAATTGATAAATGGACGACCTACACCCGCGACGACGGTCTGCCGAGCAATCGTGTTATGGCTATCGGTGTAGATGGGAACTACATCTGGTTTGGCACGGATAAAGGCTTAAGCCGATATAATAAAGCGATTGACGTTTGGGCGCTTCGCACCACCGACGACGGTGGTTTGACAAGTAATAAGATTTCCGCTATCGCTGTCGAGGACGAGTATGTCTGGTTTGCAACTGACAAAGGTGTATCCAGATACGATAAGAAGATCGATTCATGGACGCAGTTGACCAAAAGCGAGGGGTTGGCGGACGACAACGTCACAACTATCGCTATTGATGAGGATTTCATCTGGTTCGGCACGGAAAATGCCGGCGTGAGTTTATACAGCAACACAGAGCAAACATTTGTAAAAACCTACACGCGCACCGATCTACTCGAAACGGGATAAGATCAATTACATCTTAGTTGACGGACTGTATGTCTGGATCGGCACGGCGAATGAGGGTGTTCAAAGATACATTAAGCCGGTTGATACATGGGTTCACTACAAAATAGAAGATGGGCTTCCATCATCAAATATCACAGCGATGGTAGTTGATGGTAAGTATGTCTGGTTCGGCACTTACGAGGACGGACTGGCGCGATTTGATAAGATTCGCGGGCTTTGGAGTATCGTCAAAAAGGTGGAAGGCTTGGTGAGCGATAATATCAAATCGATTGCGGAGCAGGAGGGTGCCCTTTGGATCGGCACGGCGATGGGACTCAGTCGATTTGACTTGCAATCTGGGGGGTGGAAAACCTACACCAAAGCACAGGGATTGACGACCAATTATATCACCCGCGTTGTCGCTGCTGATGATGCAATCTGGGTTGGAACGTCAAAGGGGGTGGGACGATACCAGAACAATCGGTGGAAATCCTGGCGACATCAACATGGACTTCCAAGCGACTTTGTCCTCGATGTGGCGGTGGTAGATCAAACGATCTGGGTCGGCACACGCAACGGGCTTTGCCGATACAATCAAGAGAACGATAAATGGCATACTTTTGAAGAGCTAAAAGGAATGTGGATAAATGCCATTGCTGTTGACGACGATTCCCTATGGCTCGGAACCGATCAAGGGCTAGCCCAACTCACCAACTCAAAAAACAGCCATTTAACCGATCAACGTTTCATGTTTCACGCATCACGTCCCACTGTTCACGTCAATGCCATCGCAAGTGAGAAGGATATACTCTGGGTCGGGACACAGGGTGGACTTTCCATGTTCGATAAACAGGAGAAAAGATGGCACGATTTCACAACCGAAGATGGCTTGCCGAATGACAACGTGAGAGCACTTGCAATCACTAAAGACGTGCTTTGGATCGGGTACACCGGGTGGGTTAGGCGTACTCCCCCGTAACGAGTGGCACCCTTCAGCGACAAGATCGGGTGGATGGCAGCAATTTGATTTAACCCAGCCAGGGATAGAGATGGGACACGAAAATGTACGGGATATTTGCGTGGTGGATGATCAAATTTGGCTGGGGACAATCGGCGGATTGGGCGTATACTCCCATAAAGATAACTCTTGGCAAGCGATTCGCGCAAGGGAACGGACGGTTGTCCTGCGCCATAGCGATATACAACACACAGAGCTAGATGGCGATTGGGTATGGCTTTTGGCATGGGAGAACACCTCCAACGGAGAAATCGTTCGGTATGACAAACGCACAGGAACTTGGACGCATTACATGAAGGAGGATGTGACGGAAATCCACCAAGCGGGTTTGCTCGGGTCAGATTGGGATCCAAAGCGACGCGATAAAGAGAAATTATATCCACTCAATCCGAATAGTAAGATGTCAAGAGGCAAGTTCCGCTACAATGAAAAAAAGAATGGAGAGTGGAACTTGCCTCTCATCGCCCAAATCTATTGGATGGAAGTGGCTGATGACAGTGTATGGTTTGCTACAGACGGGGGTGTGCTCGCTTACTACAAAAACTCGGATACATGGCGACACTACACCACCAAAGATGGACTGGCAGCGAATGAAACAACAACATTGATGGTTGATGGAAATGATGTATGGGTCGTTTTGAGGGATAATCGAATCTGTCACTATCGACAGGATACGGATAGATGGGAGACCCATCAGGTGGTTTTTAAGGAGATCTCTCCTGATGTTGAATCATACCGTACGCGGCTTGCGGTGGATAAGCGTTATGTATGGGCTCCAGCGCAGATGGAGGGGGTAGCGCGCTACGACAAACAGAATGAAACATGGAAGCGCTACACTTCAGCAAACGGTTTATTAGATGAAAAAATCGGCTTTATTATCGTGGACAACGATGATGTCTGGGCTTACGGCGGACGCGAAGGCTTGAGCAAGTATGACGAGAACATGGATAGCTGGACATTATTAATTCCAAGAAAGGGTTGGTTGCCGACCGGATCCGGGAAGTTATCTCCGGAGTAGACTATATGTGGGTGTTGTATAACCAAAGTTGGTGGGAAGGAGACGACAGCGTCCCCGCAAGCGGGTTCCACAGAGCCAATCAGACTTGGCAGGTCTTCCGAGGTCATCCAGAGAGCGTGGGAAACAATTTCACAGACGTTCAGGAAACGGCTGAATTCGTGTGGTTCGGAAGCCAAGAGCACGGTATCAGTCGATACGATAAGGCATCCTCATCTTGGACGGTTTTTACGGAAGAGGATGGACTGCTAAATAATCGCGTAAACTATCCAACTTTGAAGGCTGATAGCGACTTCCTCTGGTTGGGTGGTCACAACGGTATCAGTCGTTATGACATGTCTAAAGATAGCTGGACGGTGTACACGGGAAGGCGCGCTGTACCCGCTGACGTGGTGCATGCGATTGCTGTTGATGCTCGCTATGTTTATTGTGGAACGGATTGGGGTGCCAGACGGTACGATAAACAACATGACTTCTGGCTGGAGGAGCGCATTGTAGAGGATCCCGTAAATGATCTTGTCACTGACGATAAATACTTGTGGATAGCGACCGCTCAAGGCGTGATCCGGTTCGACAAATCAGCGCATTGGACAGATCTACACGAAGCGGAGAACGGTCTGGCCGACACATTTGTCAAGGTTGCCGATGTAGGAGGGCGTACCTTATGGATCGGTACAGATAAAGGGGTGAGCAAATACAATACACTTTCGGACGACCCAAATGCTTGGGAGACCTTTACACGCGCAGACGATGTGGACACAATGTTATTATCCCAAGAATACGCTAACAGTCTTGTAGATAACCGCGTCACCAGTATAGCAGTGGGGGATCGCTACGTCTGGGTGGGTACAGAGAGGGGTATCAGTCGTTATGACATGAAGAAGGAAATCTGGGTGACTTATGCAAAGCAGGAAGGATTGCATCACGACGAAGTGAGTAGCATCTGCATTGATGGGGACTGGGTGTGGTTTGGTACAGAGGGTGGTGTCAGCAGATTAAACACTAGGACCGAAGAGTGGGATGTCTTCACATCGTCTGACGGTTTAGCCAGCGATCCGATTACCAGTATCGTCGCAACAGATGATTTTGTCTGGTTCGGCAGTTTCGATGCTGGGGTGTCCCGCTACAATAAGGCGACAACGGAGTGGAAACACTTTACACAAAGGGATGGACTCAGCCATAATCGCGTGTTCGCGCTCGCCACAGATGGTGATTTCCTGTGGGTGGGGACTGAACGCGGACTAAGTCGGTATGATACAGTGACAGATACGTGGACAATCTTTACCACACATTTTGATGAAGAAGAAGACCGAAGGTGATTTGAAAAAAATGCGTCAGATTCGTATACTCTTGGGATTCATAATACTCCTGTCTTTGGCGAGTTGTTCCACGCATGATCCACAGCAGACGCACCCCGATTTTTTTCTCAACGGGGAGCAGGGGGGTGCAACCAGCGAACTCCTTAGTGACCGCGTCCTATCCCTAGCTGTCGATTCACGGTATTTGTGGGTCGGGACCGATCAGGGGTTGAGTTGGTATGATAAAACGCAAGGGCGGTGGGTCAATTTTACTGTGAAAGACGGTTTGGCTCACAACCACGTTTTATCCATCGCTTTGGACGATTTGCAGGTCTGGATCGGCACACGCGACGGTGTGAGTCGTTATGAGATCCCTACAAGTACGTGGACGCGCTACATGCCGCGTGATGGCTTGGCGGGACGAGAAGTCTCCTGCATCGCTGTTGATTCGAGATTTATCTGGTTCGGTACGCCAAACGGACTCTCTCGCTATGACAAAGAGACGAACAGTTGGGCACGGAAGCGCGAGGAGGATGGGCTCGCTGGCGACTTTGTTACACAGATCACGATCGACGATGACTACATCTGGGTCGGTACGCAGCAAGGGGTTTCTAGATACGACAAACTCACCGATTCATGGAATAACTATGACAAGGACAGCGGACTTATTGATAACAGCGTGACTGCAATTGCTGTTGATGAGGATTCCGTTTGGTTCGGCACGGAGAATAAGGGACTTAGTCGCTACGACCAACGGAACTCAGAATTCGTCAGGGCGTATACGAAAAGGGATCGGCTGTCGAGCGATCAGATAAACGCACTGGCAGTGGATGGAACGTCGCTATGGTTAGGGACTGCCGATAGCGGTGCACAGCGCTACATTTTATCTGTCAATACGTGGCGGGAGTACACGACAGAAGCGGGGTTACCTTCCAATCATATTACAGCAATTGCCGCAGATGGCAATGTGGTTTGGTTCGGTACGTATGAGCATGGACTGGTACGATATGACTTGCGCCATGAAACGTGGAGGATCTACGGCGAAATTAAGACGTTGAGCGACAATGACGTAAAGGACATTTTAGTAACGGACGAATCGGTTTGGGTAGCAACACGATCCGGCTTGAATCAAGCAACCTATCTCGAAGGTCCTGAGTTTTCAACAGAACTTAATTGGCGGACGTTGAGTAAGGCAGACGGTTTGGCGGATAACTACGTTACCGCCGTTATGGAAGTTGGGGAAGATCTCTGGGTCGGCACACCACGCGGTTTGGGAGTAAGACAGAGAGGCGAAGACAAGTGGACATTTTTTACGACGAAAGATGGATTAGTACATAACTTTGTGACCTGTATTGCGTCGGAATTTGAGAACAGAGGCACCGAGAGAACGTTTTCACGTCTATGGATTGGAACAAAGGCGGGGCTTTCGACCTACGAACCTCGAAACCGAAGATGGAATACGCATCCGTCCGAGTTGCAAATCTCCAGTTGGATCAACGATATCAAATTAGATAACGGTTTGGTCTGGATCGCTACCGCAGATGGGCTTGTCTACCATAATCTGTTCACCGGGGTGTCAGGCAAATTGACCAAAAAAAGATGGTTTGCCTTCGGAGGTGATTAACACCGTTGCGATAGGAGGTGATTCTATCTGGATAGGCACACCCTCCGGCTTAGCGCGGCTAGATAAGTTGATCATCACGCCTCACGTTTCACGTTTCACGTTTCACGGCAACGTGAGAGCGATTGTCGTTGATGACGATACCCTCTGGATCGGTACACCGTCGGGATTGGCAAAGTACGATACCGCAGAAGATCTATGGACGCATTACACCCGTGATAACACCAACGGGTTGCTCGCCTCCGATAACGTTAAAACCATTTCAAAAAATAGTGGAAAGATTTGGATAGGCACGACCGCTGGGGTCAGTTGCTTGGACGAAAGGACGGGCAAATGGTCGAAACACGTTGCGGCGGCGACGACAGAGGTGCTTCGCTCGAATTGGGTCAGCAAGCTGGCGGAAGATGGAGAGGGACTCTGGTTCGGTAACTGGAAGGATTCTACAGAAGGTGCCATTGTAAGGTATAATAGACTGACAGAGACATTCCGCTTCTTCAGCAAAGAAGACCTTCCATTAAAATCAACCGAGGTGCCTATCACGCGTATACACGGTCTGGCTGTAGCTGAAAATGAGGTGTGGGTCGGCACCAACGGGGGATTGTTACGATACAATAAGGTGACGGATACATGGCGCCATTATACGGTGGAGGATGGTCTGCCAAACAATGAAGTTTGGACTGTTGTCCTCGATGTTCCATACCTCTGGACAGCGCATATTGGCGGCGTGGCGAGCCGTTATTCGCTTGAGGCAGATGAATGGAAAAGTCATGAAATCGTACCAAGTGTGCAGTGGAGCAGCATTGGCACCATTGCCGTTGACCCGCAGTATGTCTGGGTGACGACCACTTGGGGAGGAATTCAACGATACGATAAATCAACAGAGACTTGGACAGCTATCACGGAAACGCACGGTTTGGGAAACAATGAAACAAATGACCTGCTCATTGACGGCGATTATGTCTGGGTTACGGGGTGGGGAGATGCTAGCCGTTATAATCGCCGAACCGAAGAATGGGAGGTGTTTTCAGGTCGGCGGGTGCTTGCAGGCGTCAACTCCGGGATCGACAGGGGATTGGAAGGGGTCTGGCTTGCGTATCCTTGGCGAAGGTGGGGTGGTGCAATTGCGTCAAAGTATAACAATAAAACCGACTCATGGACGACCTTGAAAGTGCCAGAAATGGAAAAAGATTTTTTCGGATACCCAATGCAGGTTGTAGAGACCGCCGACACTGTTTGGTTGACGATAAAGGAACAGGGATTGGTTCGGTATAACAAAGCCTCGAAGGATTGGGCATTCTTCAATGAGGAAAGTGGGCTCGCAAGCAATGATCTCATCGAGCATTCCTTAGTGGTAGATGACAACTATGCTTGGGTGGGGACAGCCGGAGGATTGAGCCGATTTGATCTCAAAACAGAAGTATGGACCAATTTTACTCAGTCGCCCCTGACACGGACGCTCCGCGAGTCGAAAGTGTACGCAATTGCCGCCGAAGCACGTTATGTGTGGTTGGGAACAACCAACGGTTTACATCGCTACGACAAACAAACAGACCGTTGGTTTGCCCCTCGTCTAAAGGGATTTGAGGATGTGGAGGATGACACACCAAGTGTCACTTGCCTGACGATTGACGAAAAATATGCTTGGCTCGGTACGAACAACGGTGTCCTGCGCTACGATAAAACTGGAGATCGTTGGGAAAAATACACAGATGAAAACGGTTTGCCTGCCGATACCGTCCGAGATCTGGATGTAAGGGGCTATGACTTATGGATTTCGACAGACCGCGGCGTTGCAACCTTTAACCGCCTGTCTGATGATCCGAATGCGTGGGAGTCACACACGCAGGCACTGGAAGTCAAAGGCATGGGTGATGACAAGAAATACGCGCAGACACTTTTGAGCGATGATGTTCGTTGCGTTGCGGTCAGTGAGAAGTCGGTCTGGTTTGGCACGGACAAAGGGATCTGCCGATATGATAAAGAGAAAAAGACATGGGAATCCCTAGTGGGAAAAGCCCTCAACCGCTGGTCACTCTGACGGACATCAGCGTTATCACCGCTGACGAAGGTGACATTGGTTCGGCACGGGTAAAGGTGTGATGAGTACAACATCGAATCCGAGACTTTCGTCACTTACACCCAATCGGACGGTTTAGCAAGCGATGTTGTTACTTGCATCGCTTTGAACGGGGAAGAGATTTGGTTTGGTTCGGCAGACGCAGGAGCCACACGGCTGGATAAAACCACGGGCGACTGGCGTGTTTTTAGCACAGACGATGGCTTGCTCCACAATCGAGTCGAGGCAATAGCGTTTGATGGCGATCAGCTCTGGTTCGGCACAGAGCAGGGCTTGTGTCGATATAACCAGAAAACGGAAACGTGGACAAGTTATGCAGAAGATTAATAGGAACAAGAAAACGGGCAGACGAGAGAACGTGAAAACGAGACAATCTGCTCCTTTTTTGAGTAAGTGTGGAAGCGTGAAAATGAGAAGGCAAGGAAAACACCCGTTCCCTCAAAAACTCGCTTCCTCACATACTCGTTTTCCCGTTTTCCTGTTATCCCGTTTTCCCATTTTTCTCCTGCTACTTCACCTTGGATGTAGCATCACTCAAGTTGATCCGCGGGAAGAAAAATCGACTGTTCTGGAGGAAGCAGCGATCACCCAAGCAGCAGCGGAACAAGCGTTAGTGAGTGATAATGTCCGTTGTGTTTCAACTTCAGCTAATCACGTCTGGGTAGGGACAGATCGAGGTGTCAGTGTCTATCATAAAGCGGATAACCGTTGGACGAAATTAGACAGGGAGGATGGGCTACTCTCTGATGATGTCACTGCAATCGCCACCGATGGAAAATCGGTCTGGATAGGTACGACTCTCGGTGTTAGTCTCTATGAATTGGAAAGTAAGCGTTGGAAAAAGTTCCAGCGACGCGATGGTTTGGCAAGCAACGAAGTTACCGCCATCGCTGTGGACGGAAATTATATCTGGGTTGGGACCGATACGGGTATTTCGCGTTATGATAAGACGACAGGGGCGTGGGCATTACAACGAGAGAAAGATAAAGATCAATTTAATGCAATCACCGCAATTGCTGTGGAATCTGAGTATGTTTGGTTCGGTACGGAAGACGGGCTCCGACGCTACGATAAACCCAAGGATGCATGGAACGCTTACACAAAAGAGGAAGGATTGGTGGAAAACCATATCCGCCACATCGCGTTGAGTCCTGATGCTGTTTGGGTGGGTACAGAGAAATCGGGTGTAAGCAAATACAGTACAATCAACCAAACCTTCACCGAAAGTCATACCCGAACAGATCGCATAGAGAGCGATTTCATCAGGGCAATTGCAGTTGATGGAGACAATGTCTGGTTTGGTTCGGCAGACCGTGGACTTCGGCGCTACATCACAACGGTGGACACTTGGTTCAAGTACACGACAGCACAGGGCTTGGTCAGTGACCACATTACCGTGTTGACAGTTGATGGGAGGGACATTTGGCTTGGTACTTACGAGCACGGTTTGGGGCGATATGATAAATCGACGGATGGATGGACATGGTATTCTAGGCGGGATACACTGGTGTCAAATCAGATTAAATCACTGGTTTCAACTGAGGGGGCACTCTGGGCTGGTACAAATAAAGGTTTAAGCCGCTACTCGCTGCGCGAAAAAACGTGGCGGACCTACACCAAAGCTGATGGTCTAGCGACAAACTATATTACCGCTTTGGCGAATAATGCCAAAGACGGAACGTTATGGGTTGGAACGCCCTTGGGGCTGGGAAGGTTGGAGGGGGAACGATGGCGTTTCTATACCCAACGAAATGGATTGGCAAACAATTTCGTCACCTGCATCAGCCTCTCCAATCAGGTCCCGACTCGTCGAGGATCCTCGACGTTGTTTGGATCGTTCCGGTCCAACAACGTCGGGGTTTGGGTTGGGACGAAGGGCGGCTTGAGTGTCTTGATGGGAGAATCCCCACCCTCCTCACCACAATCAGGGGAGGACAAGCAAACGAGAAGCATCCGCGAATCTACGCGCATCACCGCGAATCAAATTAGTGTAGATTCGCGAGGATTGGCGGATGGTTTTCACGTTTCACGCCAACCCTATCTCACTGGCAAGTGGGTAACAGCGGTGCTGGCAATTGATGAGGAAGTTTGGGCGGGAACGACTGAAGGATTATATCGAAAAAATGCTGCAACGGATAAATTTGAACCCTTTCCAGTGGTAACTGATTATGTCAATACACTTGTGTTTAATCCAGATGGGCGATTGCTAGTCGGTACGCGGAATGGGTTATGGATTATTCGACCCCCCTTTTATCCCCCCGCTAGCGGGGGGATAAGGGGGGTAACCCACATCACCGATGGTTTGCCGAACCTAAATGTCAGGGCTATTGCGTTAGACGGAGAAACCATCTGGGTTGGGACACCGGGTGGGGTTGCACGCTCCGATGGAATTGGAGTTCAACAGGTTTTTACGATGCAGCCAGATGGCTTACTGCACGATAATATCCAAAGCATTGCCGTTGTGGATAAGCAGGTTTTCTTCGGTACTGTTGCTGGTCTCGCTGTCTATGAGGTAGAGAAGGATCGATGGGAGAAGCATACGCCATATCACGATACAGAGATTTTGAGAGAGGATCAGGTCCGTTGGATTGAGTTAGATGGACACCATCTGTGGGCACTCAACTGGTCGGCTTCCCCGAATGGTGCAATTTTGAAATTTGATCGGCGCACCAATACGTGGATCGAGTACACGAAGGACGCACTACCACTCTCCCCCGAAGTCCCGTTTATCACCGCAATTAGTCGGCTGGCGGTGGGGAAAGAAGATGTCTGGTGCGCTACGGGGGACGGCGGTGTGCTGCGGTATAACAAAGCATCGGATACATGGACACACTTCACAAGATCATCTGGACTACCGGGACACCACGCTACACTAATCGAGTTTGATGGGTCAAATGGCGTTTGGGTTGCCTTCCTCGGTGGTGTAGCGGCGCACTATGATACGTGGGCCGAGAAATGGGAGACAGTGAAAGTGACGGAAGCAGGTGTCGGAACATACATCGAAGACATTGCTTGTACGAAAGATTATGTTTGGTTCTCCACAAGGAGTGTTGGGGTCAAAAGGTATGAGCGAGCGACGAAAACTTGGCGGTCATACACAGAAGCGCAAGGTATGGCTTCGCGCTCCGGTGATTGGATTGCCACAGATGGAGAGGGAGTGTGGACCAGCGGCAGAGGTCATTATTCGTGGGTCAGAGACCGGAGAGCGCATGGTGTAAGTTACTATCGGCCCGACGATGATACTTGGACGATTTATGACAGACGCGAAGGTCTGCGGGCTGATCGGACGGATTACGGACAGGTCGGTGAAGATTACGTCTGGTGTTTTGGTGGAAGCGGCATTAACAGATACGATAAGACTGGTAAGTCGTGGACTTCCTTCACGCAAAGCGATGGACTCCCCGGTTCGGGGGTTGAGGCTATAGCGGAGGATGGCGATGGCTTTTGGGTAGGCACAGTCAATAAGGGTGTGCTAAAATACTCGCAAGCGTCCGGGGCATGGACAAACTTTCACGGTCGAAGACGGACTTGTTCACGATAGCGTCTGGAGATATCAACTGAAAGTCGATTCAAAATATGTATGGGTAGGCACATCAAGGGGCTTGAGCCGTTACGATAAAGAGAAAGAAACATGGACCTCCTTCACCAAACCGACCACCTTGGCAGACCGACGAGCGGTGGCTGTTGCTACCGATTCCCGGTATGTATGGGTCGGTACGCACCGCGGCTTGAGTCGATACGACAAGCACTATGACAGATGGAAGCATTTTCAGAAATCGGAAGAAGAGAGAGATGAAGAAGACAATGAGGATGAAGAGGACGAAGAGGATGGGGAAAAAGAGGAAAAAAATGAACTTGTCGATAACAATGTGATTGACCTATCTGTCGGTAGGCGGTATGTTTGGATTGCGACTGAGGGCGGTGTTGGTCGGTACGATAAAATCGCGGATCGGTTTGAATCGTACACCAAAGAGAATCAACTGCCAAGCGTTGATATCCGAGCAGTTGTCCAAAATCGAAGCGATGTATGGATTGGTACAAAAAACGGTATCAGCAAGCACAGTATTCTTTCCGACGATCGAAATGCTTGGGAAACATATAACGCCGCTATTGAGATCTTGCCAACGGTGGAAGGAAAATACGCCAAGAGCCTGAAAAATGACGATGTTCGGTGCCTAGCAGTCGATGAAAATCGCGTTTGGGCTGGAACGAAAACCGGTGTCTCGCTCTATGCACTCAGACAGGGGACGTGGACCACCTTTACTCAAAATGATGGACTGGCGAGCGATGAGGTCAGTTGCATCATCGTTGACAATGAGCAGGTATGGTCGGAAGTGGGCGCGGCCGTAACGGTTTACGACACCTTGAATGAAACATGGAAGGTGCTTACGGAGGCGGATGGGCTTAGGCTCAAATCTGAGTACATCAATGGCAATCCGCGGAGATCAGGTCTGGTTTGCGTACATTCGACAAGGGGGTTATCATGTTGGACAAAACCACCGGACAGTTACGACCTTCACCAAAGCCGATGGACTTCCCCATAATGGCATCCTATCAATTGCAATCGATGGCGACTACTCTGTTCGGTATCGCATGGCGATTACACCCGATAGATTCTCTAACAGGCACAGGACGGTTTAGACCCGATGGACAGTTGATACTGAGTGGTATAGACCATGATGGGATGTAGGGGTGAAATCAAAATGCAAAACCCTAAAAGGGATCTCAACAAAAGGAATACATGGCAGTAAGCGAAGTTTCGATCTTCGAGCGGTGTGTGTTGTTTCTTCCTATTCAACTTTCTGACTTTCCGGCGGAGCGTCGGAGGATGTCTACCGTCTATGTGGTAAGCTCTTTCTGTCAGGGAGTGTGGAAGATGATTTTACCAATCTAAACGAGACTTTCTCGCAGATACGGAAAGAGGATTCAGTCCGGCAGGACGAGTTCGATTTTGACCGCGTGTTCGGCGCGGCTTCCACAGCGTCATGATTATTGAGGAACTGCTGGCAATGTCAAAAACATCTTGAGTTGGGAGAGGTTCCCACCCACCTTTACGAAGTTACCTTCGATCAAATTGACCTCGCAGGTGTACGCTGGGGTATGTGCGCTCCGAACGCACCGATTGGATGATTTTGATGGTCCCGGTCTGCTCAATCCGGTAATCGGTCAAGAAAATGTCCAGGGGTCTGGATCGGCATACGTGAAGTGACGAATTCGGAAAATCCAAGTTGGGAGCTCTTGGTACTTCCGCGACACGCCGGTATGGCTATAGACATGGAAACCACTTGCCAAACTACGGTCTGAAAGCAGAGTTGCGACGACGCCAAAAAGCGCGTTGAGAAAGGATCTCAGTTCGCGTTTTGAGGCAACCACGACAGTGTTTAAGGCGTTCCGAACGTTGGGGACACAATCTTTCAGGGAGAAGCCTTCCGCGCCGGTCCCCGTTTCGATGCCTCCCGATCTGTTGGGGGATAACGATGATCAGGACCGGTACACTGATAACACGTGGCTAGACCCACCTTCTCTAATTATTCCCGGTGACTCGATAAGAACAACAACGGTACTTTCGATTATGAGGATGATATTCTACTCTTTGATGTCGATGAGGATTTCCTTGACGAAAGAGATCAGAATAACAACGGCCCCGGGACGAGGAAGAGAACGATAAAGATCCAACTATGAATTTGATGTTGGATTGCGAGGTCTGCGGCTGCTGCTGATGAAACGGAAGACAAATCGTGATGGAAGTCCACAGACCTTGATGTTGGCTTGCAGTTTGAAAAAGACCTTAGAGAATACGGCGTTTCGCTTATTCTCGACGGCAACAAAAGCGTTCGCCAATGTAGTTTACAACAAGGATCTCTCTCAGGATGCTACCCTGATTGTCGAGAACGAATTGAAGTGGGTCAAAGACCGCATCCCTGATGAAACTTGGTACTTTGCCGGCTTTTTAAGTCGAGAGGAAGGACAACTCTACCGGGCTCAACCTGATGTGCAGAGAATGGAAGCGAGAGGGGATGTGACATTTTTTCCTATAGATGGTGGCGTTGAGGTCGAGAAGCGACGCAAAGATCCATTGTTGATGCAGGACGACTTAATCAACACCGCCAAAGTCACTTGGGAATATTCGGGGATTAAGCAGATGGTCACAACGGGGCGCTTCAAATTACGGTATAATCACGATTTCGACCGGGATAACAAACATTACGAAGTCGGCATCCTGAAAACAAACTACCGCATACGGCCATCCAAATCGCTCGAAATTACACCGATGTTCAAGTACACGATCCGTAACGGTTTTCAGATGGCAGAAGACCGTCTGGAACATCTCTCATTAGTTGGGGAGATTAATGGTGAAGAGGCTTTACGCAATATCCGACTGCGCGTAATTGAAGCGGCGGATGTGCGTGACGCGGCGGCGGCGTTTATTCTCAAAGTGGTCTATCAGTTCACCAAGACGATCAAGATCACCGGAGGTGGGCAGGTTCTATTCTTCAACGATATGCTTGATGATGGAAACGATTTTATTCGCCAAGCCCTTCTAGCGGAGATGGAAAAGAGCTTTGTCGCCTACGAAAAAGAGTTGTTTCTGCACATCGGCGCACAATACATCGATCAACGCGCCAACGCGGACGTGAACGATGATAACTTCATGGAAACCTTCGTGCGTGTTTTTGGAAAGTTTTAGTCATGTGAAACGTAATGCGTAATCAGACTCAAATTCACGCGGATTTTTCTATCTGTGTTTATCTGCGTTTCTCTGCATCCCTTCCCGTTTTCCCACTATCATTTCTTCCCACCTTTCAGGCATCACGTTTGGCACTAGTGTGTCAACGCATAGACCACAGCATTGATTCCCATGCGGTACGCCATATCCGAGTACTTGCGTGGATAAAAGCCCTCCGCTGCATGTTCCCACGCATCCCCTATATCGGTATTGAAATTAATCATCATCATTAGACGGCCGTGTTCATCATAAACACCGCGACAATAAGCAGGGTAGCCGTCACGCCGCTCGTAAGTACGCCCGTTAAATATCGATCTCATACCGGGAATCTGAACAAGGGTGTCGATATCAAAAAAACAGTGAAATAAACGGTGGGTGATGGGGATGTCTTCAGGTTCGCGTTCTGGGAAAATTTTCTTGAGTTGGCGGTAAAAATGGTGCCATTCCGCCCCGCCGTGGAAGTCGTCAACCATAATAAAGCCGCCGCGTAGTAGATATTCGCGGAGATTTGCCGCTTCTGCATTGGTCAGGTTGAGCGTACCAACTTCCAAGATGTAAGCAAAGGGGTAGTTGAAAAGTGCTGGGGAACCGACAGGGATAATCTTTTCACGACGGGCAACGGGAATGTCTGTTGCTTGGGCGAGTTTTTGGATAAAATTTCTATCAGAGGCAGGCAAATCAACATCCCAACCATTACCGTACCAGCTGTTTCCAGTGTACCTTAGTCTCACAAAGGTGAAAAGATCACTATCATCATTCTCATTGGAGTGGCTTGGAAAAGATATAGCCATACTGAGAATAAGGACGAAAAGTAAGAAAAAGCTGAGAGAACTTTGTTGGTTCATTGATTCATTAGTTCATTGGTTGATTGAGGTGTGGGAGCGCGAAACAATGAAAGTGAGAAGGGGAGAGAGTGAGAAAGTGAGCAAAAGCGAATGAAATCAACCGTAGAGATACAGAGATTTTTTATTTTCTTTTTCTATCTTCTCCCCGTCCAAATACCAACACCATCGCGCTACAGTTCTAGGTTGATGGAGCCAGGCCTATTGCGCTATAGCTCCGGGTGTTCTCCTCTCAATGCTGCTCCTTGTTGAGCCCGCAAGTAGAATTATATCACATTTGCCAAAAAACTCAACAAAAATACGCCCTCTGAACCAATGAACTAATAAACCAATCAGAACCGTGTCATCAAAGAGATCCGATTGCTGTTTCCTAACTCACTGTTGTTCAAGAAAGCGTAATCCACGGAGAAAGCAGCGCCGGTTAAAAAACGAAAGCCGTAATCCCGCACCAGCCGTCATTAAACGGATCGTATTGATGCCTTTCCGCTCCTGAACACCAATCCTTAACGACAGGAGTTCTGCGAAAACGTACTCTGCACCGTAGTGCATTTCAAAAGAGTATAAGCTATCAGTATCAACTGTCAGTAGCAAGTGGCTCTTCAACGGTTTGATTGATTGTCTGTAAGAGAACCGATTTTCAGGTTGGGCTCAATCGTGTCTGTATTGGACGCTTCACCCGGATTTTCGGGTGGTGTATTCCAGTACAACTTCGTCCTGAAAAAATCCTGTGCGACGATACCGATCGACAATTGGCGAGATCTTTCAGTAGGGGTTGTCCAGAGCAAGCCCAGGTCCCCACCGACGCCAAGCGCGTTTGTGTTGCCCAGCGCAGTGATGTAGATTAATTTAGCGTTGCCACCAAGGAACATATTCAACCGCTTTGATCCTAGATTAAACCCAACCTGTCTACCGTAGGATAGGAAGAAGGCATTGTCGGTGCTGTTAAAGGTTCCGGCCTGTCTAGGACGATTGGCTGGACTGACCGGATTCCCAGGGCGTGGCAGTGTCGTGATCGGGATATCGTCAATCCCCACCCGTAGCCAACTTAACCCAAGCGATGCAGCTCCACCGATTGGGTGAACATAGTTGACGAAATCGTAACTATCCAATTCGCCAAGACTTGAGTGCATAAAAGCTGCTTCGGAATGGCGCAAACGCCCAAGTCCAGCCGGATTCCAATAAGCCGCGGTGGAATCATCGGCGATGGCTGCAAAACTTCCTCCCATCCCTAATGGTCGCGCTCCGACGCCGAGTGTTAAGAAATCGCCCGCATACTTTTCCGCACCGTGGGCAACAGTGTGGCAACAGAGAGCAATAAGAATGCAGAAAGTGGGAAAGTGAGAAAATGGGAAAGTCCCAACTCGTCGAGGATTCTCGTCATTTCTATGATCGAAACGATCATGAAATGTCGGGATGAGCAAAGACAATAGCGTGTTACCGTTGTTTTTGCTCACTTTCTCCCCTTCATTTCTTTTTCCCTGCTTGTCGTTTTGTTTTCTTGTTTTCTCGTTATCATGAAGTCCTGCTCTACTTCAGCTTTCATCATCTTGATGTATTCGGTCAAATCCTTCTCCCCCGCTGTCTTAACACGAATCTTGCAGTAGTACACGCCATTTGCTACTTCATCACCATCTCTATCCTGTCCATCCCAAGGTATCATCGTGAACCCCGCCCGCGCCGGTTCGGTAAACTCACGGACTAACCGCCCCGACAGACTGTAAATTTTGACTATCATTTCATCGGCGGCTCCAGTCAGTTCACAGGTGATTACGGTTTCATCGCCGAATGGGTTAGGGTAGTTCATCGCTTTGAGTAACTGAAGGATTTTGTGGATACGGAATTCAATCTCTTCCTCAGATTCGTTCCCATCAAGATCGCTGGCACTCAGGCGGGCCCGATACGTTCCCGGTTCCAGTTTAGGCGATTGATAGTTCAAACTAACCTGATTAGACCCTGAAACGTTGCTCAGTCGATATTCCGTTTCTGAGATTGACGTGAATTGCTGATTATCCCGGCTGATTTCGAGATGGACGGGGCGGGTAATGTAATCGATGCCGTTGTCGTCCGTAAGTGTTGCTTGGATGAACGGTTCTGAGGAAACTGGATCTCCATCAATAAAATTCTGTTTGCCAATTGTCAACTGGAGATCAGGGGGGATGGTATCGTTACTTTGCATCAATGTCAACGTGCCAAGCATTGGGACTTCAGCGCGGATGCGTCCAGTCTCTTTTGTGTTAAACCGGAAGCTATCTCCCGCTTCAAATTCTCGCTCACCGACTGATATCTTGAGGCGTAGACCGAATTCAGGGTAAACGAATTCATTACCAATTTTACCGCGTACGGGCTGACCGTTCCGTGACAGAAGACCATTCTTTTCTCCTTCAATCTGAAAGTGTTCCGAATCAATGAACAGAATGACCCACTGATCCAGTGGCATTGATGAATTTTCCTCAAGACGAACATATTGGATGCTGCCTCTCCCAATATTCTGCTCGCGGAAGGAGGAGGCAAAGAATGTTGTATCGGAACCACTAGACGCACTTTCAAATGTTTGAAAAGTGAGGATATCCCCAAACTGGAAATCATTTCGCCTAACTCTATTCCGATGGCAACACCGTCGCTGAACACGCTTGGTGCTTGAGGAGATGGATCCAGGAATCGATCTGGGTCAATGAGTTCAAGCGATTTCTCCTCTTCGCTGATTAGGATGCGGTAAGTCTCGGACGATGTAAACAGTAAGACCCATTTGCCTACTCGTACGGTGGCTGCTGGATCAATAGGGACGGTGTGGATTTCACCGTCACCGTGATTTGATGCGCTGATGTTTGCGAGCGTTGATTGCGTTTGCATCAATCCGTCAGACGATGTGAGCAACTCTGAATCAAGACGAACCCAGTTTTTTCAGCACATCTACCCACAGATACATGCCAATCTCCTTTGCGATCGCCTCCACTCCTTCATCAATTGTTACGATCTGATCGGGAGCCGGATTTGAGATCTCTTCTAAGCCTAGCTCATCCTTAATGGCTTCTTGTAATGCCAAGCGGTCAAATCGCAGTTCCGCCGTTATTGGCTGTTGTAGCGGTATTTGATTCAAGGACGCTATGTCTAGCGCCGCATTGTAGGCGACTGTGTCATCCCCGTTTGGCAGTGCAACCGGGATAAGACTTGATGGATTCACCGGTTTAGGCTGCTGTTGGCTGTTTAGTGGTTTGATTGTCAAGACAGCGGGTTGTGGAACGGTGTGAGCGGGTATGCGGAAATTGATCGCTGCATCTTGGCTAAAAATATGCTGATCTCTTTGACCAATGAGGATGCTCTGAATTGGAATGAGACGCGATTTAATATTGTCTTTCTCATCGCCTTCACGCAGTTTTCCATAAGGCATTTCGGCGGAATTGAAAGCAGGATCAACATATACAAAAACCTCGTGATTGCCGATCGGCAATTCGTGTTTAAGGGTTGCTGTTGCGATCCAATTGGCATTAAGAGGTCTATCCCCTGAAAGCGCGGGGGCGGAGCAGGCTGTCGGTTTCACCCCCGGTCTTGAGTGAATTTTTGTGAGGTTCTACTGGATCTCTGCGCTGCCACGCGCTAGGGGGGATCTGCGTTCTCCCAAGCAGCTTTGCACCAGTATCAACAACGCCATCCCTATCACGATCGGGGTTACCTGCAAAAAAAGCGACTTCTAGGTTCTCTTTTAGTTCGATATCTTCAATCTGCTCAATATCTGCGTTAATCGTCCAAGCACCATCTTCGCGGGAGTAGCCGTAGTAGATTAACGGATCTGAAAATCCCAGTCCGGGTGTAACTCGCACGTCAGGGAATACAAACGGGCGGTATGTCCGCCGTCCGGAAGTGACATATCGACTATCGGCATCGATGACCGTAATCTCATATTGGATGCTGGCTCGGTCAGCTGGCAGAGGTAACGGCTTGGGAGTTGTATACCAGCCATTGCCACGTGACGTATCCCGGATCATTATCTCTTCAAACGATTCCCGCTTTACCGGATCTCGCCATTCTAGGATAACCGACTTGATACCTTGTTCATTCAATTCATCGGAAACCTGTGTGGATATACGAAATTGAGACGGTTCACTGCCCGGACTGCTAGCGACAAGTTCCGTTTGTATATCAAGAATCTTCGGTACAAGCACAGTAAATGAGTACCCGCTGGCAGCAATATGGGTCGGGCTCTCAGCATAAAGTTCAACATGGCCCTCGCCCGCACTAATTCCTTTGGGTACAGGGAGGGAAAGTTCGGGGAATTTGCCGTTTACTACAGTTGTCTCTTGGGTGACAGAAACATCACCTGAGTATACCTTCAAGAGTTCTTCTTCTCCCTCAACGGTTGAATAAGTGCCGGGAAGACCGCTTTTGCGTAGATCCGTCCATTGAAATTTGAAATCGGCGTAAACCGTTTCTGCTTAATTGCAGGGTCGTACGTAACTTCGGCAATCTGCCCCGGAGCGATTTTGAGAAGTTGTCCGGCTGCAACGGTTCGTGTTTCAATATTCGCCTGAACCTCATAGTCCGCCATAGCGAGGTTCATCGCTGGATCGCCGAAGAGAGTATACTCCAGCATGACATTGAGTTGTCCGCGACCATCCTCTATTAACTGTTCGATCTTCGAGTCGAAGCTGATTGGTCCGAGTTGCCGTATATTTCGCTGGAAAATCATATCAAAAATGATATTATTGAGTGCGTCGTTACCGCTGCCGTAGGTAAGGCGCGTGGCACTCAACATAGCAATAATTCCGCTTTTATGCTTTCGGAGTAGTTTCTCCGCCATGCTCGGTTCGCCGGGCGCATCAAAATAGCCGTTATAACAACTCAACACCAGCATGAATGGGAGGTGATCTGTCTCACTCACCTGATCAACTGCCCGGTTGTCAAAGATCGCCTCATGCGCCCAAACAATTCGACCACCATGCCCTGCATATTGCGCGATAACCGCACCATCACCCATTGCGTCAATAATCATATCCTTTGCCACCCGTTGTGGTAGTTCAGGGTAAGCTGCCTTATTCGCTTCAACCTTGTCAATTACATCTTCAAGGTAGATAGGTACGTTTTCGTAACCAAGCAGCGCCTGGTTTTTTGAAAGCGCGGTCAAACTCCTTTTGAAAATCTCGTCGCCGGAGTTATTGATTTCGTCATCTGCTACGGAGAGAATCCGGCGGCGCCAATTCCCATTGGGTCGTTTATCCTCATAGTTGATGAGTTTATCAACAACGTTTTCGGCCTGTTCAAGCGTTTCCACGCTCAGTCTTCCAATGTAGAAGTCGGGTAGTTCGTCAATACCATTTACGGTTGTGTACCAGTGATCAACCGAAGTCTTCCCAAAAGAAATGGTCCAGATATAATGGGTCGGGATGTATCCCGTCAATTCTGGAGGTTCTGGATAGACTTCCTTATCAACCCCACGGTGATCGTACGTTCCATCTCCCATAATTGTGACATAAGAGAGCGCAGGCGATTGCCAATTTTTATAGGCATAGGTCAGGAAGTCCTTGATAGCTTGCGGATTAACCATGCCATTACTGAAGATATCATAAATCTGTGTAACATCAACGACCTTCGTTCGGTATCCGCCGCCTTTTGGCGTTGATCGCCATCGTGCCAACCTTTTCGATGGTTCAAGGAATACCGGATGACTGATGATCAGGTAATCCACACCATTGCTGGGAGAGAGCAGATCGCTCGGCATCGACGCCTCAACCAGAACCGGCTGACGTACACTCTGCCGAAGATACCGCAATATACTTCCCATCGTGTGCATCGCGTACCTGAAACGTTGCGTTATAGGCAACCCGCGGGATGTCCTGTAATGAAGGTTGACTTGTACCGTCAGCTTCGGCATTGATGCGGTGGATTTCGCGGAGGCGGTTGCGTTCAGCTCGGTCCAGATCTACACGCTCAATCTTGGGGTTTTGGAACTTTGAGACCAATACCTCACCGTCATGTTCAAAGATTGTCACATCTGGGGATAAGAAGGTCTGGACAGTATATTCCAACCGACGCTGCCTTCGGGCGTTGTATGGATCGATGGTAGCAGGTGTGGTGAATTCAAGGGAGTCGTTGACCGCTTTTAGCAAGCGCGTATACTCGACCTCGAAAGAATTAATATAAACGTGATAAGGAAAGGCTGTGGTATTTTCTTCTTCTGTGGTATCAATTCGAGCGAGGGTAATCACATTCTTTTCGCCCTTGGTTGCATCCCGCAAGTTGTTCCAAACCCGTAGCGTTTTATCAACTGTGGCAACATCTTGGCTTGGCCACTTCACCTCATCAATCCGAATATTGTTAATCGAAACTAGAGCCTCGTGATCGGTTGGTGTTCCGCCTTGCAAGGTGACGCGGACATTCGATGGATCGAAACTCTGCGTGAGGTCGTAAAGCGGAAATTCGAGATCCACTTCATTTGCATCAGCCAAGTTTTTGACACCGGTCCAGTACCAGAAGTCAAGTGCTTCAAACCAGCCGTGCTTGTCATCTGGCGAAACGTCTCTGGGGTCAGCATGTCGCAAGTTATTGTGAAAATGGTCTTCCTCAAAGTAAAGTTTCGAGCGGAAACTAGGAACCAGTTTTGCTGTTGGATTATCAGGACTGGCGTGGATTTCAGAAACACGCGCTCCCCGTGTGCGTTCAGCACCGAGCCAATAGACATTCCACCTTGTATATCGATTCTTTGCATCTATGCCGAGAAAATCGATGAAATCGCCGCGGTCAAAACGCCCATCCTCTTCACCGTAGATGTATATTGGAACCTCCCTATCGTTCGTCCTAAGATGCAAACGCCGTGGATCAAGCCCGCTCAAATCAATCCCCCATTTTTGACGTAAGTCATCGCTCGTCAGGCGATAGATGCCGGTTTTATCGACGAGAATCTTATACCGCTCTCCATTCGTTTGTTCCTGTACTGCGGGTCCTGCCCCGATGCTGCGACCGGGATCCAAAGCGGTCGGCGCAGCAGCCGTTCCCGCTGTTGGAACGCGCCAACGTTTAGCTTCATCGTAGTTTAACAGGAAGTTTTGGTACATCCGCTCAAATGAAGCCGGTTCTATGGTCGTAAATTGAGAAGGTGAGGTACTGGCGCTCTGAAATCTGTTATCTGAACCTTGGTGCACAAAGTGAACGCGGACAGTCATACGAGAGTGAATCCGCAACATTCTCGATTTTGGTTGATACTGGACTGGGCGGAGTTCTAGATAAAGTATCCGTTGGGAGCGGATATAACCGTCATAAACAACCTGCGCAGCGGTTTTTGGATAATTATTGCTGGACCTGTAAGCGGGACCATCTTCACGCCATTCTTCTTCAAGTGTTTGGAAATTTTCAGGATGGGAAAAGGAAGAAGGGTTTTCGCTGCTGGACTTAGGAACATTGTGTGGTACAGGCGGGATGCGATAACCGGACCGTGTCTCTGTAGTGGTATGAAGAATTTCGACCTGAAACTTGACGTTTGGCGGCACACCGAGCGTTACGCGCGACACAGGGAGCCGTGGACTTCCCACTTCACTAGTAAACCCACTTCCTTCAAAGCTGACCGCCTGATACCGAATCCCATTCCGTTTAACTGTCGAAACCTCAAGTTTTGGAAGGTTAAACTCGATAGTAATTCCGGTCTGATCGGTTCTGGCGTTTGTATTTGCGCGAACTTCTAAGGTCCCAGTGCCAAACAGATAGAAGCAGCATAATACGTAAAGCGTAAAACGGAAAACGTAAGAACCCCATAGATTCAGCACCGTGGAATCACTGATTTGTCGGCTCAGACGGTTCATGCAGATGTTGCCTCCTCGTTACGGTTGCGGAAGTTGTGGTGAATCGTGTGCTATATATCATCATTTTAGTAGATTGTTAAGATTCGATTCTTCACATTGTTTCAATGGTACAAATCTCCATTCCACGATTCCGTAACTTAGCTTACAAACTGTTTGTCAGCTATCGAAAGTCAAAGCTCAAAGCAGGTAAGCCTTTCCTGTGCATAGACAGATAAATCACACGCGGGAGGCTGATGTAGGTAACCAATCGGAGAACAGATTGCGGTAACATTGCCAATTTGCTGCCGAACTGGAACGTGCGTATGTCCAAAGAGAGAGTGCGTGACAAGCTGTTCTTCAAGGCAGGTCTTGCCGAGTCCCTGACTCCCCATATACGCATTGAAGAAATCCCACGGCAATGTTCCGCGAGAGCGGACGCACTCTTGGAAGGGGACGTGGTGGGTTGTCACAACGATTTGTGAGACGGAATCTCTGATTGAACCGATCTGGTTCCGCAACTTATTCTCAAATCGATGAGCAATTTCCGGGTCTGTTCCATCCCATTTTGCATAATTTGAGTCATTCCAAACGGATCCCGATAACTGTTTCGACGCGTATGCCTCCTCTGAAAAATTGTACTCCTTGCATTGAAATGAGTAGTCATACCACCCAATTGTACCACAGAATCCGACGCCGTTCTTAACGAAGGGCGCGGTGTCCAGTGGATGGAAACCGCACTCACGACAGGCTACCGCGATGGCATCGTATTTCTGCTCGCTTGTAATATCGGGATGTTCGCTAACCCAAATATCGTGGTTTCCGGGAACGAATAATTTTGGGCAATTCAAGTTGGATTCGGTGAATGCAATCAGGATGTTGGCGAGTTCAAGCAGGTTGGGCGATAGATCGCCAGCGAGGATGAAGATATCCAAGCCTGCTTTCTCTACCGCTTCGACGATATGCGGAAGAATCTGTTTATTCAGCGGGGTGACATCGGTATGCAGATCGGAGATAACGCCAATTTTCATCTGGTTGGGAGTTAGCTTGCAGGCTGGTATTTATTTCGTGAAGGGCAAACCCGTTGTCCGCATCCCCTGAACCTCAAAATGCACCCGAATCCATCACTCGGGTCAGACCTCCGTTTTCTCATACTTGGCGGTGCTGTCCAAACTTCAGCGTATCAGTTTGAGACCGAATACGATACTGATTGTGCATCAAGCGGTTCATAGATGTTGAGCCTACCCTCTTCTTTGCGGGCTTCTTTACGGACAATGTACATTCGTTTATTATCTTTATCATCTATCCACCACTCGCTATCTTTCTTTTGAATCGAAAGGATAGCATTTTGAGAAAGCGGGATTTTGTTATTTTTAAACTCTTGTCGTAACTCTGCTGAGATATTTTCACTGTTCAGATGAGTTTGGTACTTTAACTCAACATTAAACAGCAATACCTGCAGCTCGTCGAGAAATGTCCTTAAACCGTTTCCTTCTGGAAGTCCCTCCCTTTGAAGACGAAGTGCCTCAATTGAAGGGGAACGACCAACTTTGGCAACGGCATCAGCGACAGTCAATTTAATTGTTGGGTTGTCTGTCGTTTTGAGAGCGTTGATTAACATGTTCCGTGCCTTGTTCCCACCGATGTTGCCGAGTGCCGAGGCGGCGATATCTTTAACGCTCGCATTACCACGGTCAAAGGCAGCAATGAGTGCATCAACGGAGTCTTCGCCAATCTGACTCAGCGCAAGCCCCGCCTTGAAGCGGATGCCGGGAACCTCCATGCTATCTTCCATCACGGTAATCAGATCTTCAATAGCGGAGGTCGGTTTGAGATGTCCCAAAATGGAGATACAAGCCCGTCGAATCTCCTGATTCGGCTCAACCTCACGCTTGATATTTTTCTGCCCCAATTCTACCATCTGTCCATCGGTTATCTTCTGGTATAAAGCTTCGGAGCGATGCCGAAATTGTGTGCCGAATGGATCGTTGAGGGTAACGCGGTTGTTCTCAAGATCGCTCGTGAGCAGCCCCAAGATTTCGGCGGATTCACGCTGCCGCGGGTTCAGCTGATCGGCGGGTAACTCATCAACGTTGGCTTGCTGAAATTGCTGAAAGAGAGTATTCAATTGACTCAAGGCAACGAGACGTTCTAAGGCTTGGGCAGCCGGTTGACGCAAGGTACTGCCTTCGTTCTCTAGAAACGCGGTCAACGGCTGGACAGCACGTACATCTCCCAAGTTACCGAGCGTATTGACGGTGCCAATCTTAATACCAACTAATTCAATTGTGCGGAATGTAACCTTAGAATCATACTTTGCAAATTCGTCGAGTGCTTTCTTATAGTCTTTAATGGTTTGAACATTTCGCTCATCAATTACGCTTTGGATCGTGTCACCCACTTTGATGTTGCCTGTGTCGGCGGGACTTCCCGAAGTCACTTTGCTAACGCGTGCCCCATCAACTTCCAAGCCAGCTTTATCGCCACTTCTTCGGACAGCCAACCGGATTTCTCGACCATCTGTCAGCTTGAGGATAAAGTTGTTGTCCTCTTTCATTGCACTCTTGACCGCTTGTTTATAGTCCCCTGTACTGCGAATTGTTCGTTCGCCAATCACATAGGAGATTAGTTCGCCTTTCTCAAGGTTGGCTTGGTTTGCTGGACCGTTTGCATTTACGTCAACTACAACCACCCCGGTTGTTGACCAACGGTTGTCAAGATCGCTGTCCAACTGCAGAAGTTCCATTTGCAATCGGTCGTCGTAATAACGGTTGTCACTGCATCCAGCAACACATAGAATTGCGAATATTAAGAGAAGGCTAAGTTGTATTTTCCAAATCATAAGATCCCTTTCATACAGATTTTCGAGTAGAGATTCTCAACACGTTAAAAATCGGTTAGAAATAACCTTTGGAACGCTTATCATGCCGCACAAATTTACGGTCAAGTCGGCAGTCGGAGGAACTGTTTCTTCCAAAGGTTCTCGTGGAGAATTTTAATTTTCGGGTCAAAAATTGACAACGACCTCTCGGTTGCCCTGTTCGGTTAACACCTCTAGCAATGGTTTAACCGCCCTTTCATCACCGAGTTGTTCTAACGCCTGAATCGCATCAACACGCATTGAGGAACCCTTGTTCTCGACGATCTCGACCAATTGCTCTACGGCAGTACCCCCGATTTTGCCCAATGCTTCGACAGCAAGACCACGTATTTCGGGGCCTTCCCTATCTTTTTTCCATTTGGCTGAACCAGAGTTGACCACCTCTACTAATACCGGAATTGCGCTTTCATCCCCGATTGCACCAAGTGCCTTGATAACGTTCAAACGGGTTTCCCTGCGTTTATGTTCTAGCAGTTCTATAAGAATCGGTCCAATCTCTTCAGGGTGATCTCTGCCAAGGGATGCCAACACCCACTGTGCATCGTGTCTGTCGCGGTTATCCTTGGACTTGATTGCTTTTTTCAAGGCATTGAGTAACTTTTTTCGGTCAGCTTGTTGGTAGATGCGCTTGAGTGCATCTAATGCTGCGTTCTGAACGTCAGGTTCACGGTTTCTCAGTGTCTCAAAGACAAGGATTTCGAGGTATTTTCGCTTGTCGTTTTGGTAAGCTTGAAACATATGCTTACCCCGTTCTTCGATCGATGCACTCGCCTTTTCCGGAGTCCCATCCGCATAAAACATCTCAGAATCGTAGTAGCCGAGAAGATAGTGTGCTTCCGCATTATCTTGCTCATGTTGAATTGCCAACTTGAACTGTTGGGTGGCACGTTCCTCTTTCCGTCGTTTGTCAGATTTAATCAATTCTTTACCTTTGGAAAGGTACGGATTTTGGCTTCCGCAACTGATAAGAAAAGCGGCGATGCCAATTGCAACGATAAGTAACTTAAAATATCTCTTCATATTTGCTCCAGTTGGTAAGGCGCGATATGTAAAACGTAAAACATAAGATTTTTCACATCTTACACGTATTTACAATAGTTTTTGCTGCTGTTCTTCGCCATCGAAATCCTCCGAATCTTCAGAGGAATCTTCAGTGTCTTCTAGTTGAAGTTCTTCTTCGGTGTCTTCTTCTAGTGAAGGGGTTTCGTCCGTGGACGTTTCTTGGTCAGAAGCGCTCGCCGTATCAGAAGAGCCGACTGTTTTTTGCAATGTAACAACGGGACGTTCGTCAAATCCCCATCCTTTGTAAGCCGTTATGATTGGCTCCTCAGACCGGGAGAGCTCAATCTGAAGCGTTGTGATACCATTTTCTTGTGCAACCTGCTCGGTGAAGTCGATTAATTTATCTGCAACTGCGAACTGCCGGAAGGGCGCGGATACCGCTAACTGGCTGACATCGCCGATTTCAGGGTTGAGGGGGTGACGCTCAAGCCGAATGTTTCCTATCGCATGTCCACTTGCCTCAGCAACAATTCGGTAGACCTCTCCCCTCTCCGTTCGCGAGAGGTCATCCTGTAATTCTTGGTCAATTTCTGCTGCAGCACTGCCGGTAAAGCAGTACTGCTCCAAAGCTTTTGCATCGTTTGCAGCAGCAGCTCGAATTCGTAATTTTGTAGTGAGTTCAAATTCTTGATCTGCCATGTTCTTTCTCCGTTGGTTAAAGGTGTACAAGTTGTTGGGCTTCACATAATAATAATCAGACGTTAACTATTGTAACATGATATGAATTTGAGGACAAGGGAAAAGTCCGCGAGGCGAGGCTTATAACGCCTTCTGCCCGGCGCGCAACTGACGTTCAGCGTCTACTACATCACGATTGATTTTGTCAAGGCACCGATCTATCTTATCCAATAACGTATCATGTCCAACCGCCGCCCGGCGTACCTGCCGAAGAAGATCTATCACCAGTCGAAATGCTCGCACAAAGTCGCCATCGGCTAAGTTTACATATTGGGGAAGCGTCTCAAACTCACAACCTTGGCTCCACGCAAGCATCGCTGTACTCAACTGCGTTACTAGCTTCGGGATCACCGGATCCACCTGATACTGTTCCTCTAATATTCGGATTGACTCAATCTCTTTGTCTCCTGTTTTCAGTAACCTTTTGATTTTTTTGTCTTCCAGTTTTCTATAGTGTCCCCAGTCCTTTCTGTCTTCGCAAACAATTGCCATTGCAAGCACACTGAGTTCATCTTCACTTAAGTTTTCAAAGAAGCCTTTGAAGAGGAGTTGGGTCACCTGTATTTCATAGCCGTAAATTTGTGATGCAATCTTACCACGTGCGAGTAATCCAGAGCCATCGATGTACCCGAGTTCTTCAAGAATCTTCAAACGCGAAGCGATCTGTTTTCGCTGATAGTCTTCAAGGAGGACTTTCCTATTTTGAAGTTCCTGAATCCGATTCTCAGATTGATTAATTTTGCGGTAGCTGTAATCGCAGGTTTTGAATTGTTTGCAGTTATGGCATAGATTCTCATTCTTTTCTGCCTCAATTTGCCACAACTGGCGTTCGGACCGCATAAACTTTTGGCGTAGATCTTTCTTATGTCTCCGTTTGCCCCCTTTGCCCTTGAGTGCACGACGTTCCACTTTCAGGAGTTTGCGCCGTTCAGTGATTCTGTCCCGGAGATTGTTGTATCCGCCAATCTGATCAAATCCATCAACGCCGTCATGAATACAAGTAGGTTTGGAGAGTTTGTTCAGTGTTGTGAATGTATGTTGAATCTGTGTCTCTGTCTTCCGCACCCGCTCTATATTTTGAAAGTTGTTCAAGCTTTGGGTGCATACATCATAGATGTCATCTCCATATTTTTCATAAAGATTTAAGATACTTGAATAGGAGAGATTGAACTGACTTTCAATTGGCTCAATTTTGCCGGAAGTGATTCGTTGGACGCTCTCAACATGTGCAAATTTTGGGAAAACTCGAGCATAAACATAACCAATTGGATCGATACCACGCCGCCCCGCTCTACCTGACATCTGATGGTACTCACGCGCTTTCAGGTATCGGAAACTAACGCCATCGTATTTCTCTAAGCTCTCGAAAACAACCGTGCATGCCGGCATATTAATGCCAACTGCAAAGGTCTCAGTCGTGAAAAGCAGTTGAATCAGTCCGGAGGTAAATAGACGCTCGACTACCTCTTTCAAGGTTGGTAGCATACCCGCGTGGTGGTATGCAATACCTTTAGAAACAAGGTGGCGAAAAGCTTGGATATTGCGTTCGTCTCGGATGCTGAATTGAGTACATAATAGATCAAACAGATGAAGAATTTCTTTCCGCTGTTCGGCGGTCAGCAAAGTCCGTTTGGCATAATACGCTGCATTTTTCTCGCATACCTTGCGACTAAAACAGAAGTAGAGACAAGGGAGCTGGTTCTGATTCTGGATGTAGGGAATCAGATCTGCGTGAATTAGATTAGGCAGTGCCTCTTCAAAGGTTCCATTCTTATCAGTGTCGTCTTCGTCGTAGAAGTCGTCGTAGATAATAGACTCTTGAATCTTTTGTAAGCACGCAAGATCTCCAATGCCGTATCCTTCCAAATAGAGATGATGCTCCAGAGGGACGGGTCGTTCTAATTCTTCAATTACATCAATCTCAGCCTCTCGGACTGACCGCATCCATTCGGCAAATTGGTTGATATTTGGGATTGTCGCACTTAAACAGACAAATTTGATATTCTGAGGCGCAAAAATGATACTCTCTTCCCAAACTGTTCCACGTTCAATATCGTTGATATAGTGAATTTCGTCGAAAATAACGTATTCTACGTCGTCCAAGCGGGTAATATCATCAAAGATTGTATTACGGAAAATCTCCGTCGTCATCAACAGCACTTGAGCAGACTGGTTTAGTACCACATCACCCGTGACAATCCCGACACAATCGCCATAAGTCTGATAGAAATCTCGATACTTCTGGTTGCTGAGTGCTTTAATCGGTGCCGTATAAATCACGCGGCGTCCCATCTCCAGACATTTTTCAATAGCATACTCAGCGAGTACAGTTTTGCCTGCTCCCGTCGGTGCAGTGACAAGCACGGAGTGATTCCGATCTACTGCATGGATTGCTTCCTCTTGAAACGGATCTAATTGTAACCCCTTGTAAAGCATTCAAATCTCCTAGAAATAGCTGATAGAAATGATTATAACCCTTTCCTTTTTTTTTGTCAATTGCGAAATGGATCTATAAAGCGTGATTGATGCGTTCGCTTCCTTCAAAATTCCGCTTGCAAACCATTTCAAAGCGTGCTATGCTTTGGCATCCAATATTAATAGAGGATGACCGTGGTTATCTCATACTCAGAAAGGGACAAGATAGATATGGCTGAAAAAAAACGGGTGCTCATTACCGGTGGGGCAGGCAATGTCGGCAGTACATTGTGGGGTGCGTGGGAAAAGGAAGATAAATACACCTTGACATTGGTAGATATCAAGGAGGCTGATAGCACGAAATCCCGCGTTGAGTTGGGAGATGTTCGAGACTATCAGCGAATGCGAGAACTTTGCAAAGATCAAGATGTCGTTGTGCACCTCGCGCTTGTGACTCAAGATCGATTTGGCAAAGTACCGGGCGAAGTGACCGATATAGGGGCATCAATGCTGCTATTTGAAGCTGCCCGCGAAGAGGGCGTCCAAAAAATTGTGTTTGCGTCCACAAACCACGTCACCGGTTGGAATGAACATATAAGTTCACCACCACGATTTTCTACAGCGGAACAGATCAATCCCGATGGTTGGTACGGGGCGATGAAAGGGATGGCAGAGGTCGGCGGACGCTACCTCGTCAATGAGTTCGACATGCGCTTTATCAGCATCCGTATTGGTACGTTCACAGGTGGGTATGAAGCAAACCATTTACGCACCTGTAGCACACTCCTGACGCCGCGCGATTGTGCCCAACTTTTTGGGCGAGCAGTTGATTATGAAGGACCCGTGAAATTTCTCATCACGTATGGCAGGTCTGCCAATTCGACCGCCTACCAACAGAGCTATCTTGATATTAGTGGTGCTGTTGAGATTCTCGGTTATCAACCGCAAGATAACCTGATGAAAACGCATCTTCCTCAGTTGCTGAACGATGATGCGTGAAATGCAAAGAGAGGGTATCATAATGGCAGATAAAATCAAAATCGGGGTGATTGGGTGCAGGGTTGGTCGGACATGGGTGGCGGGTGCGAAAGCAGGCGAGGATACCACCGCTTGGGCTGTTGCCGATCTGAATCAAGAGCTTGCTCAACAAGTTGCTGCCGATAACGATGTCCCAAGAGTGTATGGCGACTATCGGGAATTGCTCGCAGATGACGAGGTGGAAGCGGTTGGGATTGCCACGGCCCCTGATGTGCGGAAGCCGATGGTAATTGATGCGTTGAATGCAGGTAAGCATGTGTTGGCACAGAAGCCACACGGTCGCAACGCCGCCGATGTGGAGGAGATCAACAACGTGGCAGCATCTATCGGGAAAACCCTTGTGTACTCCTACTTCATGCGGCACGAAGTAGAAAATAAAAAGACCCGTCAAATCATCGCAGCGGGAAAAATCGGACAGGTATACCATGCACGGGTGCACTATCATTTCCGGGAACGCGGGGTCAACTATGAACCGGGACCGGGCAGAGATTGGTTATATCGGTGGGGGTCAAAAGGCGGCGCGTTGGGGCAGCACGGTTCACACTACCTCGATCAGGCGTGGTTTCTGATGGGCTGTCCACAACCCGAATGGGCATTTGCTGTCAGTCATAGCGCGTTTCCAACGTACTAGAGGTAGATCGTCATTCTGAGGATTACCTCAGTTTTCTGGTGGGGTGTGCCAACGGTATCACAATCCAAATGGATACCTCCGCTGTCATTCCGACATGGTCAGATCGCGCGTGGGATCTTCGTTTGCGAATTCTAGGCACGGCTGGCACAATCGAGCAGGAATCTACATCCCAACCTTCGGGAACAAAACGTTCGGGGACACGCCGACTGCTTGGTGCGATCTACACTGAAGGCGACGATTTCATCGACGAATATGTGGCACACAGTGACGGCGATTTTAATGGGGAGATAAGGGATTTCGCAGATGCAATTCGTGGGACAAACCCGCCCGATGTGTCACCCACAGATGCGTTGACATTCATGAAATTGTTGGATGCAATCTATTTGAGTGCGGAGACCGGGGAGAAGGTGCAGATCTCTTAGCCTAGCTCAAGTTGCTATTTATCAACCCCGCTCGGCTTAGATAGACATATCCAAGCCAGTCCCGCAGATGTGCAGTAGATTTGTCAATCCACTGCGAGCGAAAAAAATTGGACAAAAGGGGGCAGTCTATAGTGCCCCCGGTGCTAAAATCCCTTGACAATGGGATAAGTCAATCAGTATAATTTAGCGACTTTCCGGGCGGGTGTAGCTCAGTGGTAGAGCATCAGCTTCCCAAGCTGAGGGCCGCGGGTTCAAGTCCCGTCACCCGCTTTATCTGCTCTGAATGCCTGAACTCCGCACATTGGGGCTTTGTTTATATGAGGAGCGTGAAATGCCAATTTACGAATTTCGGTGCAAGCAGTGTGATACCTCGTTTGAGAAACTTTTCGTTTCAAGCCAACAAAAACCATTGTCCTCCTGTCCTGAATGCGAAAGCGGCGACACCACACAGTTATTTTCTGTCTTTGGGGTTGGGACATTGAATACTGTAGAGGCACCAACAACTGAAATGCCAATGTGTGGGACTTGTGGACACCACACACCCCAACCGTGCGCCTAAGCTGATGGGGCGTCCTAAGGGATGTTGTCACTATATGTTTGAAAAATCAGCGGCTTATGATACACGGTGCTCCACTTGCTCAGTTTTTAATTAGAGGTCCAAGAGAAACTAGATGAATCAAGACAGACGTTTGACAAAAGAAGAGATAAAAAGCGATCAATTTGTTGACAGCACGCTACGGGTGTATGAGTTCCTCAAGGCGAACTTAAAATCGATTATTATTGGTGCAACAATAGTTATTTTGGTTGTCGGGGGATTTGCCTTTTATCAGCAACAGCAACAGACCGCACGCGCAGAAGCCTTTTTGAAATATACCGAAGCCATCGAGAAATATCAGGAAGCCGAGAGCGGTTGGTTAGATGCGGACGAAACGGAAAAGCCATTTGAGACTGCTACGACCCAACTTCAAGCCATTTTCCAAAAATACCCTGGGACTTCTGTTGCGGATAAAGCACGATACAGTTATGCCAAAGCGCGCTATTATGAAGGGGACTATGACGGTGCAATCACCCACTTTCAAATGGTCGTGAACGAGCACCAACTGGAAAACCAGATTCTCGCTTTATACGCTCAAAAAGCGATTGGCAACTGCTATGAGCAGAAGGGCGAATACCAAAAGGCACTTGAGGCATATACCCCCACAGAGGATAAACTGCCTCAGATTGCCATGCGTGATTACGCATTTTCGGATTTTCGGTTGAGTCAAGCACGTTGCTATGAGAAACTTGGTGATTTTGATAATGCACTAGCAATCTACAAAGATATTATAGATCTCTTTAAAGCCAATCTGGAAAAAGCTATTCAGCAAAAAAGTCGTGACTTAATTCCCGGAGCAAAAACATTGATTGCGAGCCTTCCGCAGCCACCAAAGGTAACAGCTGCTGAAGGATTGGAAAATGAAGGCAGCTATCACGAAGCCTTCGCTGCTTATGCCAAAGCGATTCATGACTACAAAGTTGGTAAAGATATTCATGGCGGACTCACCGACGAACGGCGCAAGGCTATCAATCGCTTTGAAAAAACCGCAAACGACTTTCTCATAAACCTGCGCGATGCTCGGCGCGCTGAGTCGGAAGGACGGGATCCTTTGCGCTCCTATGTGGAAGCGGTCGGTCTCGGTGGGCGTAGTTTCTATGAAAAGTCTTTGGATTTGCGCCGCACCGTTCGCTCTATGAAAAAGCGCTTTTCCGTCGTGATAAACTTCAACGTGTGCAGAAGTGAAGTTGTTAGGGCAGGCTGATTTGCCCATCGTATGGAAACTTGGTCAATTCGGCGAATGAGGCCAATCTTATGATATCACCTCACACTGAAAAAGTCTTAGAATATGATAAGCTGAAGGCATTGCTTAAGCAGTATGCGCACTCCCAATTGGGGGCATCACGGGCAGCAAAGCTGAAACCCTTCCAGCAGCTTGATGCGGTTCGTTATCAGCAGCGGCTATGCAGCGAAGCGAAAGCCTTCTACCAGACCTCCAATGGTTTCCCGCTGCAAGGTTTGAAGGATATTTCCCCGACGCTCCATAAAGTATCCAAGCCCGGTGCCATTCTGGAAGTGGAAGAGTTGCTTGGCGTCGCTCGTGTGGTGGAAGCCGCTCAAAATGTCCAGCGAGCTGTTAAAAGGCGAAATCCGAAGGATTTCCCAAAGCTCTCCTCGATTGTTCGCAATCTTCCGACCTTCCCCGAACTAACCCAATCTATTGACAGATGTCTCAGCCCGGACGGTGATGTCCTTGATCATGCTAGTCCAGCGCTACGAGCCATTCGCCGGAAGCTGGCGCACACACGAACAAACATTCAATCGAAGTTAGAGGGTATCCTCCAATCTCCCCATCATCAGCGGTCTATCCAAGAACATCTTATCACCTCCCGCAACGATCGCTATGTCATTCCCATCAAACAAGATTCAAAACATAATTTCCCCGGCGTTGTTCAAGGGCAATCCTCAAGCGGAGCGACCGCTTTTATCGAGCCTTTTGGTGTTGTAGATCTCAACAACGAGCTGCATCAGCTAGCAAATGAGGAACGCCAGGAGATACGACGTATTCTTCTCGAACTCAGCGACTTGGTTCGCGAGCATCTGGCATCGTTGGAACTTGCCTTGGACATCTTGGGGGGACTGGACTTTCTAGGAGCAAAAGCACGATTAAGCATAGAACTCAACGGGGTCGAACCGGTGCTTAACGTACGAGGTGCCATCAAGTTAATAGAAGCGAGACATCCGCTTCTTGAAATGAATCTTCAGGACAGTGCAAAATTGAAGGGAGAGGACCGCGATCCTAACCTACCAGAGCGGATTGTACCAACTGATGCAACGCTAGGAGACACGTTTCACACCATGGTTATCACCGGACCGAATACGGGCGGGAAAACTGTTGTCCTCAAAACAGTCGGCTTACTCACACTCATGGCACAGTCCGGGTTACACATCCCCGCGGAAATGGGGAGTGAAGTTGGGATCTTCGACCAAATGTTCGCCGACATCGGTGACGAACAGAGCATTGAGCAGAATCTCAGCACTTTTTCGTCCCATATTACCAAGATTATCTCCATCTTGAAAGAAGCGGATGAAAATTCACTGGTACTGTTGGATGAAATTGGGGCAGGCACAGACCCAACGGAAGGGGCAGCACTCGGCATGTCAATCTTGGACTGGTTGGCGGCGCGTAGGGTTCGCACAGTTGCGACAACCCACTACGGTGCGCTGAAAGCATATGCGCATGCGCAGGAAGGCATGGAGAACGCCTCAATGGAGTTTGATTGGCAGACGCTGCAACCCACCTATCGTCTGCAGATTGGCGTACCCGGAAGCAGTAACGCCTTCAAAATTGCACAGCGGTTAGGTATGCCTGACGCAATTACTGATACCGCTAAAGCGTACATAGGCAACCAGACCGTCGCCGTGGAAGATCTCATCGTCAGTATGCAGGCGTCCCAAAGCGAGCTTGACGTTGAACGTGAAATCGTGCAAGAGAAACTCCGAGTGGCGGATACCGCTGCCAGAAAGCACGAGGCACTAATCAATCAGATCGAAGTGGAGCGGGAAGAACTTCGGGACCAAGTCGAGCAGAAAGCCGCCACAATCCTCAAAGATGCTCGTAAACTTGTTGAACAGACAATAGCAGAAGTGCGGCGAGAAAATGCCTCAAAAGATAGTGTCAGTACCGCTTTTACTCGTATTGAAGGGGCGCGGCAGAAACTGAACGAGAGACACCAGCAGCAAAAACACGTAGCAAAACCGCACCCCGACGCAATTAGTGTACGAGTCGGTGATAAAGTCCGTGTGAAAAGCCTGAACCAATTTGGTGAAGTTCTCTCGGTCTCAAACGGGAAAACGCCCTTGCTCGTCAAGGTTGGCAACATGCAGATGCGCGTGTCATACGGAGGAATTGAGCCTGTGCGTCCGGAAGATAATAAGCGCGAACTTTCTACCTCAATCTTGGATGTCCAGTATAGCAAGACAGGAAATGTTAAAACAGAGTTGAACCTGCGAGGAAAAACTGTTCATGAGGCTTGGACAGAAACTGATAAATACATAGATGATGCGTTTCTTGCGGGTTTACCAAAGGTGCGGATTATTCATGGTAAAGGCACTGGCGCGTTGCGGACTGCAATTCACGACCTTTTGGCAGACCACGCGGAAGTGAATGATTTTCAATTGGCAGCACTCAACGAAGGTGGCGCAGGTGCAACGATTGTCACATTGAAGGAATAGTAAGAGAGATTTGGACTAATATTTTAGAATTATCCTCTTGCATTGAGAAGATCTCCTTTCTCTGCGAGTAGCGTTGGAAAATTGCGAAGGACAACTATTCAATTCACAGGACGATCGACGAAGATGGCTTCCAACAGGGCATGGTCGGTGTTCAACGACAACGCTGATAACTAACTGCCCCATTGATGCCATTGCTCTATTTACTTGGATTAAGCCATCGAATTTCGCAATACGTTTCATACCGATTTCGGTTTGAAATTTCCCATTTCGGTTCTTCAGAACTGTTAGGTTGAAAAACCGTACACGACCCGGCATGGGAAAAGCAAACCTAAACCTGTATCAGACCAAGGTGAGTTGTGATGAGACAAGCTTCTAACTACATTCCACGCGAAATACTTGATAATATTTGTGCACAGAACGATATTGCCGAAGTGATATCGGAGTGTGGGGTTTTGTTGAAGCCTGTTGGTAAAACCTACAAAGGGCTTTGTCCCTTCCACGACGAGAAAACTCCCTCCTTTAACGTCTCCCCCGAAAAGCAAGCGTTTTACTGTTTTGGGTGTAATGCCGGTGGCAATGTCATTAGCTTCCTCAGAAAATATGACGGCAAGTCTTTTATGGAAGCGATGGAATGGTTGTCAGAGCGCGCAGGTATTCCGCTGCCAGCCCAAGACGGAAGAGCACGCCAAATTAGCCAAAAACGTCTGGAGCTGCAAGACCTGAATCGTTTTGCGATGGAGCATTTTCACCGCCAACTCCTGGATCCCAAAATTGGTGGCTATGCGTTGGCATACTTGAAAAACCGGGCCATCAAAGATCAAACGATCAGGGAATTCCAACTCGGATACGCGACCCCGGGACGCCAAGATATCGTTAAGGCTGCCACACAAGCCGGTTTCTCAATCCAACAACTCATTGACGTTGGACTCATTAGGAGCGATGAACAAGGAACCACAGATCGATTTCGAGGGCGCGTTATCTTTCCAATCCGCGATGAGCGCGGCAATCCCGTTGGATTTGGTGGGCGTGCAGTGTCCGAAGAGCAGCTTCCCAAATATCTTAATTCTCCTACCACCGCCCTTTACGATAAGAGCAAAACCCTTTACAACTTATACGAGGCACGTCAAGCAATCCAAAAAGAGGAGAAAGTGATTCTCGTTGAGGGCTACTTTGACGCACTCATGCCGTATCAAGCGGGTGCCCAAAATGTTGTTGCGTCGCTGGGTACTTCGTTTAGCGCCTCACACGCCGATTTATTAAAGCGGTTTGCCGATGAAACTATCCTCCTCTACGATGGCGATCCGGCGGGCTTTCAGGCGACGTTGCGAGGATTACACATCCTTCTGGCGGCAGGATTGCGTGTGCAGGTGGCGAGTCTACCTCCCGACACAGATCCAGATCAATTTATCCGTGCACAAGGCCTTGATACGTTTAATCAACTGATCGATTCTGCGATGAACCTAATCGAGTTCCAAATTCAACGGGCAACGCAACAGCATGCAATTCATCGCATTGATGTGAAAACACAGGCTATCAAAGAAATTGCTCTGACCTTATCGAACCTCAAAAATCAGGTCGAACTCAGCGAATACGCGAAGTACGCAGCGCAAGAACTCGACATTGAGCGGTCAGTGCTTTTGAGGGAGTTGCAACGTTTGGGCGTCAAGATGTCTCGCCCAGTTTCGCCACCGAGACACACTCAAGCCGCACCAACAGCAAGGATGAGCCCGCGTGAATCGATTGAGTGGCAACTGATTGAAGCACTGCTACAAGGTCCCGACCTCCTCTCGCTTGCCAAAGCGAATTTTCACTATCAAGACTTTACCCATCCTGACTTTGCAACCATTGGCAGGATGCTCTGGGAAGCAAGCGATAATGAGGCTATCATTGATATGCAGAATCTTATAAATGCTTGTGCTAACGAAAAAATTACAAGCATAATCTCCAAGGCTCTTCTAAAAAAGACAATCCCTCCAAATTTAACTACACGAGTGGAGGGATGTCTGAAGAAACTCAAAGATTTTCTGTTGTGGGATGTTGAACGCATGAGGCGTTCTGAAGCTCTTGCACAGGGGAATAACAGCAAAAGCATTCTTGCAGAACTCGTTGAACTCTCAAACCGAAGAAGACAGTTAGCCCGTTAATCCCTGTGATTACTTCGGGAGGGGCACTAGGAGAATAAACTACAATGGCTTCAGTAACTAAAGTAGATGATCGCTTAATTGATATAGGTAAAGAGAAACACTTCCTTGAATACGATGAGCAACCGAATCCTTCACCACCGGACGATCTTGATGACCTACTTCAAATTGATTTAGAAGAAATTAACCTTTCAGAAAATCCAGCAGATCTTGATGAGGGAGATTTAACAATGAATTTCAAAGCTATCAATCAAACAGCCGATTTTGATACACCTGATTACTCCAACGATGAAGGTTACGACGATACTGATCGTGATGAGCTAGCACTGGATCCAGGGAAACTTGATAAGGTGGACGATCCGGTGAAGGTGTATCTACGAGAGATGGGGAGTATCGCTTTACTGACTAAGCAGCAGGAGGTCTCCCTGTCAAGGCAGATTGAAGAAGGGCATCGTAAGGTCGAAGAGACAATATTTGAAACGCCAATTGCAATTGCAGAAATTCGGAAACTGCTCAATCGAATTTTGATCGGTAAGAAAAAGGCTTCTGATGTGCTTTCGATGGAGGTTGCAAGCACATCCGCTAATGATAAGGAAGATAAATATCTGAAAAAAGCACGGGAATTGATGGCAGATTTGAAAGAGCGAGATTTAGAAATGCGCCTCCAAGAGCGCAAGCTAAACTATGAAAAACTGCCTGCTAAGGAGAAGAAAGCCCTTCGCAAAAAGCTTGAATGCGATCGTTTAGAATTGGTAGAGACTCTTAAGGAACTCAGAATTGATCGGGAAGAAATTAGTAAAATTGCAGGTAAGATTAAAGATATTGCGACCCGCATGGCGAATTTGGAAAAGCAGGTGACAAAGATTGAGAAAGAATGTGACTTATCCGCGACTGAACTCTGTCAGCAGGTGCAGGATTACACGCTGGGTAAAGCACAACCTACTGCCTCTGGCGGTATCAAGAAACTCAAAGAATATAACCGGAAGATCGTCAAGGCGAGGAGGACCATCAAAAGATTGGAGCGTGAAATTGGCGCGTCACGTGAGCAACTTGACTGCGCGACCCAGCGGATTCGCGCGGGAGAAGCGAGGGCGCAAGAAGCAAAGATGACGATTGTCGAGGCTAACCTGCGGCTCGTCGTCAGCATTGCCAAGAAATATAGAAATCGAACGCCAGGTCTGACGTTTCTTGACCTCATTCAGGAGGGGAATATCGGCTTGATGAAAGCCGTCGACAAATTCGAGTATAAGCGGGGTTATAAATTCAGCACTTATGCGACATGGTGGATTCGTCAAGGGATAACCCGTGCTATCGCTGATCAAGCGCGCACGATTCGCATCCCCGTCCACATGATTGAGACCATCAATAAACTGATCCGTACTTCCCGTTACCTTGTTCAGGAAAAAGGCAGAGAACCCCTGCCGGAGGAAATCGCTGGTGAAATGGACATATCCCTTGACAAAGTGCGACAGGTATTTCGGATTGCACAGGAGCCAATCTCTTTAGAAACTTCGGTCGGAGAAGATGAGGACAGCCAACTCCGAGACTTTATTGAAGACAAAACTTCAAAGTCTCCGGTCGCCGAAGCGACATTTACCATGCTCAAAGAGCGTATCGAAGAGGTTCTCCGGACATTAACAGAGCGCGAGGCGAAGGTAATCCGCTTGAGATTTGGGATTGGGGATGGATACCCCCGGACGCTAGAGGAGGTTGGCACGGAGTTTCAAGTCACCCGTGAACGGATACGCCAGATAGAAGCGAAGGCACTGCGAAAATTGCGTCACCCAACCCGGAGTCAGCAGCTGCGTGGCTTCCTTGATGGTTGAGCGATTTCTGTTGACAAATCCACTGCAAACTTTTATAATACTTGCTCGATTCAGGAGGGCCTGTAGCTCAGGGGTTAGAGCAGCCGGCTCATAACCGGCCGGTCCTAGGTTCGAATCCTAGTGGGCCCACCACCTTCTTCCCATCTCGTTTTTCTCCTCTCCATCCAATCCAACTTATGGGGCGTTAGCTCAGGGGTACGAGCGCTACCTTCACACGGTAGAAGTCACTGGTTCAAATCCAGTACGCCCCATCATTTTCTTCGACTATCCTACCTCTTGCCCTTTATACTGAAGCTGATACAGTCGATAGTAGATTCCTCGTTGCTGTAGCAGTTCGTTGTGCGTCCCCATCTCCCGAATCTCGCCGCGCTGCATAACAATGATCTTATCTGCATTCTGAATCGTCGAAAGCCGGTGTGCAATCGCGATTGATGTCCGATTTGCCATCAGGCGGCTCAGGGCGTCCTGAATGAGGAGTTCGGTTTCGGTGTCTACACTGGAAGTTGCCTCATCAAGGATCAGGATATCGGGATCGGAAGCCAGCGCGCGTGCAAAGGCGACGAGCTGCTTTTGTCCAACCGATAGTCCTGCCCCACCCTCTTTGATTTCAGTTGCGTAACCATTCGGCATTTTCTGCACGTACCTATCCAGATGGACCTCTTTTGCGGCGGCAATCGCATCCTCCTTTGAAATCTCCGGGTTGTCCAGATGGATATTCTTCTCGACTGTCCCAGAAAACAGGAAGATATTCTGCTGCACAATGTTGATGGCATGGCGGAGATCTTGCAATTCCATTTCCCGAAGATCTATGCCATCAATCAGAATCTGTCCCTTACTCACTTCATAAAATCGGCACAGCAGGTTGATAATCGATGTTTTGCCTGACCCTGTGTGGCCCACAATTGCGACCTTTTCGCCCGCTTTAATCTTGAAGGAGACATCGCGCAGGACATAATTCTCTGCGTTATAAGCGAGCCAGACATTGCGGAACTCAATTTCGCCGTTTAACGCCTCCAATGCTTTGGCTGGCGTCGGGCTCACAATTGTCGGTTCCGTGTCCATCAGATCAAAGATCCGCTCAGACGATGCCATGGCGTTTTGGAAGATTGTGTATTTCTCGCTGAGGTCACGGATGGGCCAGAACAATCGCTGGCTGTATTGAATGAAAGCGAACAATACGCCGAAAGTCATCGCATCTTGCAGAACCTGCCCGCCGCCATACCAGATGATGACCGCCAGCGCGAGCGAGCCACTAACCTCGATCATCGGGGAGAAGAGCGAGAAGTAGAAGATGCTACGCAGGTTTGCGCCGAGGTATTGCTTATTCCTCTCATCGAACTGTAGCCAGCTGCGCGGCTCCCGCGCGAACAGCTGCATCGTTGTCATGCCGACGATATTTTCGTTCAAGAACGCGTTGATTTGAGCGAGATACTTGCGCTGATCACGGAAAGCGCGGCGGGAGTAGACCTGATAAACGGTCGTCGCTGCAAAGATGGCCGGCAACACAGCAAAGGTTACTAACGCCAACTTCCAATTAAGGAGTAGCATCACTGCCATGTAGCCGAAGATGGTGAGTAGGTTCCCAAAGACCGTAATGACTCCAGAGGTGAATAGCTCCCTCAACACCTCCACATCGCCCATGACGCGGGTCATCAGTCTGCCCACAGGATTGTTGTCAAAGAAACGGACATCCAACCGCTGCAGATGTGAAAAGAGCGACATGCGTATGTCATACATTGCTTTCTGCCCGACCATCTGCATTCGGTATTCTTCAAAATAGGTAAATATGAATCTCGCCACGAGAACGAGGACATAATAGATCGCAATCATTTCCAGTCCCTGCAGATTTCCCGGCTGAATATGGTTATCAATTCCAAGCTTTGTCAGATAAGGTAACCACATTTCAGTTGCAGTGTAGCCAATCATCAAAAACACGATGAGCACAACTTCAAGCCGATACGGTTTCAGGTAAGCGAGTAGTCGTGTCATCAACACCCGATCATACACTTTACCGAGATCTTCTTCTTCTTCACTATAGTCGTAGAGTTGACTACTACTACCACCACCACCACCACTACCAAACATAGATAAATCCTCCTTGTCCCATAATCTATTTTTCTTTCCTTAAATCTTGAGTCATTTGCAATCCATGTCTGATGAGATCTATTACTTACATCTGCGTAGAAAGACAATAAAACTTCCGATAATTGCACTACCTAACAATGGTTTGGTTGTCAAAGCTATGCTTCCTGCATGTATGATAAAGCATTATAGGCAATTAGATAAAAATTGTCAAGAAACTTGGTTATACCAAAGATGCTGCAGACACCGGTGCCTCTGAAGATGGGTTTTGCTAAAAACTGGGGCTTAGCCCGCATAGCAAAACCCCTTGACAATTTTGTGCGTTCATGCCATAATCTCCGCACTATAGGAGATAGGCTGAATGGCGGGTGGGACACCGTCCCACTCGTGTCTTCAAAGGGTTTGGTCAATCCTCAATCGATCAAATACCATTTCAAAATTGACCCGTATGCCCAACCTGACAAGTTTGGGGTGGGTCGAAAGGAATCAAAATGAATACCGATCAATCACCGGCTGCGGAACCTTACCGCGCCTCTGCCTTTGCTGATGCGAAGCCTGAACTTTCAGCTCCCGGAGCCACGCCAGAGCGGTTGGAACACCTCAGGGATCACGGTTTTGTCATCATCAACGACTTTGTCGACAACCCCTGGATCCCGATTCTGCGTGAAGCAGGTCGCCGCGTCACCGAAGCGTGTGCACCCGAGCATATCTATAGTAAGATCGACGGCTCGAAGGGCTACGTGCACCGCACAGGACAGGATCAGCCGTGGGCGATTCGGGGGCTTATCCATCCGGCTTTCAATGAACCCAGCTTTGCTGAGTTCCACGGTTCTTCAGATTTCTTGGATTTCGTCTCCTCTTGGTGTAACGGGCTCCAACCAGAGGATATGGTGCTTGGTGGACTGCTGCTATGGTGCAATGCCCGGACGCACGAGAACAAACTTGGTTGGCACCGAGATACAACATGGTGGGGCACCGGGGAGAGATACTTCGCGCAGCACGACCGGAAGGAGGGACCCGAAGCGTATTCCGAGGAGACTGAGAGAATCCGCTGGAAAGAAATCGTTGCAAATAACGCGAAATCTGTCACGGAGCGAAACGGCGTGAGCATGTTCTTGGCGCTGACGGACGACGAATGCCACGAGCTAGTACCGGGCAGCCACAATCGATGGCGTTCACCGTTGGAACAAGACGTGCTTCTACCGAGAGGGATGAAGGACCAAGGTGTCCCACACACACCGAGTTGGAACGGCGTGGACCCGTTGCCGGGTCAGGTTGCAATCCGACTCAAAGCGGGAGAAGCCCTCATCCGCAATGGCGTAACAATCCACACCGGGCACACCGTTCCCCAGCGTGAGCGGAACACGTTGTCAATCGGTTGGTCGAAATGGTCAGGCGAGTTCACCGGCGAGCCTTCAGCTTCAGACGTGCGGCACGCGTGGCAACTCGATCCCGCTGCGCGCGAAGTCTTGCCGCACAAGTGGATGAAGATCGCTTGGGATCGCTGGGCGGAAACCCAGAAACTGGGAGATTCGCTCGAGGACCGATACACAGGCTTTGACATCAACCGCATCAAGGTTGGTGAGGTCATCGGTTGGCGCGGTGAACTGGAACGCCAAGCCGCGGCAGCCGGCGAAGCGTGGGAACGCTTCCAGACCGCAGCTGGCTAGTTGCAAAGAGAATCATGCCGATATGCAGCAAATGAGCGTTAGAGGGAGGTCTACAGTGCTTCTAGCTCTTCTTGCAGCAGCTGTTTCTCATGGATACCGGCATAGATGCCGTCACGCGCCAATAACTCCTCATGTGTACCGCGTTCGACAATCTCTCCATCGTCTAAGACGATAATTAAATCTGCCGCCTTAACGGTCGAAATGCGGTGCGATATGAGGATCGTCGTGCGATCTTCCATAATCTCATTCAGTCGTGTGAGGATGGTATCCTCTGTATTCGTATCTACGCTTGCGAACGCATCGTCCAAGATCAGAATCTTCGGCTTGATCATGATTGCGCGTGCGAGTGCTGTTCGTTGTTTCTGTCCTCCTGAGATGGTTTGACCACGTTCACCCAAGAACGTCTCTAGCCCATCGGGAAATTCCTCAATCTGGGCGAGCAGATCGGCGGTGTGAGCCACATCCTTGACCTCGACTTCGTTTGCATTGCTAACGCCGTAAGCGATATTGTTTTGCAGGAGGTCGGAAAAGAGAAAAGGCTCCTGTTCAACGACACCGATATTCGATCTCAAGACTTGCAGCGGGATATCTTGAATATCGACACCGTCGATGAAGACCATGCCCCGCTCTGTTTGACGGATGCGAGGGATGAGGTTGATCAAAGTGGTCTTACCGCTGCCGGTCGCACCGACAATTGCAACCGTGGCCCCAGCGCGGAACCTTGAGGTTGATATTTTTGAGCACCGGCACCTCGCCAGGATAAGCGAAGTTGAGATTTCTAAATTCGATTTCACCGTGGATCTCTTTGATGTCTTGGCGTACCGTTGTTCCATCAGCGATTTCGGGTGTGACATCAAGAATCCTGCGGATTCGTCCCATTGACGCTGCACCCTGTTGAAAGGTATTGACAATAAAGCCAAACGTAATCATCGGACGAATGAACATCATCAGATAGGCGTTGAAAGATACAAAATCGCCCAGTGTAATTTTTCCCTCGACTACCCGGATACCGCCGAGCCAGAGGAGCGCAGCAACGCCGAGTCCGGTAAGAATCGGAACACCGGAAAGAAGAAGGTTGTCAGCCGAATCCGATTGCGATTGCGTTGCACGAAGTCCTGGTTATATACTTCAAACTCCTCTACCTCGCTCGCTTCGAGCGTATACGCTTTGACAACGCGCACACCGGACAGATTCTCCTGCACTTTGGTGTTCATGGTGGCAAAGCCTTCTTGGATCCGCTCGTAATGTTTGTAGACTCGCTTCCCCAATTCCCTTATCAAGATGGCGAGGATCGGGTACGGCAGAAGTGCCAACAGCGTCAGCTGTACGTCGATCTGCAGCATAATTACCAGTGCCAACACGAAGAAGATAAGCGCGTCTGATGTATATGACACCGCCATACTGAGCACCATCCGGATAGCGTTCATGTCACTGGTTGCTCGCGCCATCAGATCGCCCGTGCGGATATCCTGATAGTAGGACGCAGGCAGCTTTTGAAGATGCGTGAAGAAATCGTTCCGAAGATGGTATTCCATCTTCCTCGCCGCACTCTGGATGACCTGGCGCTGACCAAATCGAAGTATACCTCCAACCAGAGCAGCCCCCAAAATGAGTAGCGCGTAGAACAAGACCTTTCGAGAGGTAACCGCGCTCTCCAGATCTCCCAAAACCCACTTCAGGAACTTTGGCTGCACCACAATCATCCCAGGGGTAACCGCGCGCTCCAGATCATCAAAAACCCACTTCAGGAACTTTGGCTGCACTACAATCACCACGTTTGTCGTGAGCACAAAGAAAAAGCTCGCGATAACAGCGGATCGGTAGCGAATAACATACGGTTTAAGATGTAATAAGCTGCGGATATAGCATCACTCCTTTCTTTAGCACTTTAATTGATCGGTTTCTGAACATTGCTTTTGGATAGACATATCCAATCCATCTGTGCGGTTTTGCAGTGGATTTGTCAATCCACTGTGAGCGATAATTTTTTCGTTTTACTTGCCAATTGTCTCAATTTCAATTCCGGGGGCGTTTAGCAATTCCGGTTTGAGATCGATGCCAAGCCCAGGACTTTCCGGTGCGGTCAGATGCCCTTCCTCGACCGGAACCGATCCTGTCACGAGGTTATCGTATTGAACAGGTAATGGCGGACGGACGCTTTCGAGTATGAACAGGTTCGTGAGATGGAGCGTCAGATGAATCGAGGCGACATGCAGGACAGGACCCTCCGCAGTTATGTGGTGCGACTGGGAGGTAATAGGTATCAGCGAGCACCGCAATTTTGCGAGCCTCTGTTATGCCACCGCACCAACAGATGTCCGGCATAATGAACTGTGCAATGCCAAGTTCGATTAACTCTCGGAATTGATAGCGCGTCATCAAGCGTTCGCTGATGCAGAGCGGTTGCGAAACGTGGTCGGCAAGCGTGGCATAGGCTTTCATGTTGTCTTGCGGCATCATCTCTCTAGCCACATCACATTATATGGTTCAAGCGCATGGGCAATCTTAATTGCCGATGGGACGTTCCACAAACCGTGAAATTCCATTGCAATCTCAATATCGTCGCCGACCGCGTCGCGAATCTGTTGGACAGGTTTCAACCCGATTTCGATATCTGAATTTGTAATAAACTGTCCGCGGTTTTTGTAACCCACCCCATCAAAGGGCCACACCTTCATGGCTTGGATGCCACTGTCGAGGAGCTCCTTTGCTAGTTTCCCTGCTTCGTTGTTTTCGACGTTGTTGAAATCGTAGCGGTGGTCATAGCAGGTGTTGTATGTGCGGACCTTCTCGCGGGATTTCCCGCCAAGTAGCTGATAGATCGGCTGCCCGGTGGCTTTCCCGTAGATGTCCCATAGCGCGATATCAATGGCACTGATTGCTCGCAACTCCGCGCCCGCCCAACCGTGCACCCTCATCCCATGGAACATCTCCTGCCACAGACGTTCAATCTCCAGTGGATTTTGTCCAATCAGCATCGACGCAAGCCTACCACGGATAACACCTTGCTCCGCTTCACGGAGTGGATAGGTTTCACCAAGCCCCGTGATGCCTTCATCGGTATGAACGCGGACCCAGATGCACGGGATGTGTTCGCCTTCGATAAGCGCACCCTCCTGCGGGTAGATCAGTTCAATCTTTGTAATTTTCACGTTCTCTCCAATGACAACAGTGGTTGTTCCTTAAAGATGGCGGTGAGAATCTCAGAGAGTTCACCGTGCAATTAACTTTTCGATCCGGTCGTCGAGTTCCTGCTGATCGCTCTCAAACGATGCGAGGCCGGCAAGGTTCAAAAGCGTGTCGATAGCGAGTTCACCGGATTTTATCCGATCGCCCCCAGGTTTCATGCTTGGGTATTTTACCGTCGGCTGCGATTTGCGCGAGTCCTTCATCGGAAAGCCTGGGGAACAAATCGCCTGCACCCATATCGTGCGCCCGATTCACAATTCGTCCGCTGTCTGGGGGACATCCGCTGTTAAGCTATCGGTCAGCCGGCGATCGGACTCCGCAAATCTCCCCAGAGCGTATCTATCCGAGATCCGATGCGCTGATACCGTCGTTGAGATAACCGTATAGTCGTTTTCGAGGCTCGACTTCCATTCTCCGGAAAGTTCCCTGCTTGGCAGTGGCAGCAACATTCACCGGGCATGGTAAAGACATCGATCCCAGCGAAAATACGGCAGCTGCCCCGCTGACTCGCAGACTCGCGGCGATCTGGAGTGTTGGCTCCCGATTGTCTTGGGATAGACTTTTCGCTACACGCTGACTCGCAAGCACGGCTTTTTCACCAATAGTTTGCCATCGCCCAACTGATGATCCGCGATGTAGGCGTTGAGCCGTCCCAGAAACACATTGACGTAGGAGGGCGCGCCAAACGCGGTTGCGACAAAGTTATGCCGTGCACTAAATCCTAAACGTGAAATTGACCGGTATTCCCATCTTCCCGCAAGCGGCGCATGGCAATCAAGCCGGAGGGTGTAAAGGCACTTAATAATAAATGTTCGGACAAATCTCATAAATAGCGTTGACCGTAGGAGACACTTCGCTAGATATCGTGGCCAAAATGGTATGAAGCTCTACGCTCACCCTCCGCGAAACGTTGCGCCAACGCACAGCCCATGACGCGCGTTTAGATAAGCAATCTCAATAATCTGCGTTGAATATCCCAATCCCGGAGTGTTACGCCGACCCGCTTTCTGGATTAAGTCGTCGTAAATTCCCTTTTGCACTTCGGCGTTGAGTACGTGTTATTGGTTGTCAAGGCGTAAACATCATCAGTCCATAGTGCCGTAGCGTAGCGCTTCGATATCGCCGGTATCCAACCACAGTTCAGAGCCAGCCAGACATAACGCTTTCCAAACGGATTTCTGATCCGTCTCAATACGCCCACGGCTGTAAATCAATCCCTTCCTTCACAAAATTGTGAATCAGGTCAACACGATTTGGTGGCAATGGCATATACATACAACCCCTCCTTCCAACAAAGTAAAATTCCCATATTTGCTTTAGATATTATTGCCTCATACACACAACCGTTCTAGGGCTATTCACCTGGCAGCACGGCTGGCAGGGCTTTTCGTAGGGAACCAGATCTGGGCTTTCGGCCTATCGAGCTGTCTAAATCTAGGGGTCTGCAAACTACGCACTGCTAACGCTTCAAAACATTCGTCTATACTCCGGCTCTGCAGATCTACCGGGCAATCAACCGTTCTTTCTCCGTCATCGGCTGAAAGCACATAGCGTTAATGCAATTCGACGCTGTGGCGCGCATTATACGGACGACGGGGTACGCCGTTGACCAGTGCGTTCACCACCTTTGTAGAATCGGCATCATAAAGCTAATCCATCAGCGCGTTGTGTCGGCGCGTTTCTAAGTGGCATCCCCGCAACTCGACAGGGCGCCATGGAGACCATCCGGTTGTCCAGGTCGTTCTGGCTGTACCGCTGCACAGTCGCGGTGCGTGAATTCGCTATAAGACGCGAGTAGGAAAGGTATCTTCTCCGCATCATACATTCTAGCCCACCGCCAACTCTGCACATCTGGAATGGCTATGCATCCTTTGTGGTCGCCGGCAACCTACGATACCTGTAACCTATTGGTGGTTAATTGTGAGTTGAATATCGAGGCCAGAGGCACCGTTTTCAAACTGCACATTTGCGGCAAACCACAAACGTCAAGATCTTGCCTACTTTCGATTGAATGATTAGGTTGGCGCAATTATTCGCAGATAACCTTGACAGGTCACCATTAACCAGCTTAGAATGCATATTCCAGATTCATGACTCGTTTGATCATAACAGCAAAGTGTCAGACAAACCGCCGCAGGGCATGTCGCCATGTCTGGGCAGCCGTGAGGCCAGATGTCACGGGCATAGTTAACTTTCCAGGGGGGCGAAACGCAATGGCGGCATGTCGTTGCTAGGAGGTGCACGGCGCATGATGTTCCAATTGCCCCTCGTATGCAATCATATGTCTGCTTCAAATCTCGTCTGAGGGTCCGATAGGTTCGTATTGGTGTTCCAACGCATAGTTCAAATCACGTGCTTTCGCCGTCTCGTAATCATCGGCGTCTGCGTCTGATACACGGTTGCAAGCGGTTTCTTCTTCGGTGTAAAACGCGTGGGGGGCACACCCTCACCCCTGCGTTCAGGTCACTCGATATCCGATGATGGCGTGCAGATGGTGCTGCGTCGGCATCGTATACTGCGCAATGCATCACAATGCCCCCGCTTTAGGCATCTCACGATAATGCGGTAACGCACGTACCCCCTAGCTCTTGCGATTCGCCTAACGGCTGTTTCGTCGAGGGGTCGGGCACCAGTGCTGTGCAGTTCCTACATTTTCATGCCCTTAGCCATGCTTACAAAAGTGCTTTGCCCTGCCGACGGCCTTTAATTCCAATGACCCCTATAGGTGCGCACTACGTCCATTATGTATGCGCGCTCCAAAAATCGGCAAATCTATACTAATACGAATAATCCGAGTCGTAATATGGCTCGCTGTCATTATAGGGCGCAAAGCTGAGGATACTTGTCAATTTGTTTCTAATGAATATTAGGGCATTTATT